TCTTACAGGTGTATGGTAACATTTGGTATGTATGCAGGGGAGGGGGTGTCCGTGTACCATACCAAGGCTCTACTAGCCAGTCTCTAGCGATTCTTTCTCTATATGTTTCGACCAATTTGACACCGCCGTGAACTTAAATAACGCCCGTCAACACCTGATGGGACCTGCAAAGAGCTGATACTTGCTTTATCCCTTGCTTTATCACTTGCCTTGATAAATTGAAGGACAAATGAAGATTAGATCCCATACTAGAAACCTCAAGAGGTTATTTTTTTTAAAGTGCTTTGATAAGATGTAGGAACTGTATTTAGTGTGATAAAGAGCATCATTTCTTGTCCCTAATGTGTAAATCTCTAGCCAGATAGTGGTCTGCGATAAGTCGTATCGCCGCTAACAGGTTGTTTCATTCACGTCTCTACTTGTAGCCTGAGCACCCACCATAGCGCTCCCGCCCTGCTGGTAAACGATCATAACATTGTTGATGTTTCCTTTCTCCCTCCTCCAGAGGAAGTTCAGCCAGGTCATTTTTACCGCTGTTGGCCTAGTCTGTTTGGTGCCACTGTGAGTGGATGTAGGTTGTTCCACCTCATGATGCACCACGGCCTCTTTAACCTAGTTTATCTTGGAACAACATTAATGAGATGATGCCACACGGCACCCACGCCATCAACTACAAGAGCGGGAATGCGTTAGAACATTACCATGTTATCAAAAAATGTGCTTCATTTAGTAGAAGAATGTTTTTTAATTCTAGTTTAACTCCACATTATCCGGCTACAAAACTAAACGAGACTTTTTAATCTGGCTTGTTTGATTTAAAAGAAAAACGAATGTATATCCGAACAAAAAATGCAAACAGTTTACTATTGATAGATGTGTTAGCTGTAGACTGATTCCGGTGCCTCCCTGGCAATTAGTTTCTCGGCTGCGTAGCGGCGCTGTTCCCTAAATATTCGTTATTAATTCATGGGAACACTTGCGATAGCTGTCTACAGCGTTAACTACATTTTTTCCCCCACACTGTCGGCATCTATAAACTAGCTAACTGATTTGCATTACCAACTTTTTTCTTTATTTTACATGAGGGAAAATGAAGCGTAAATGTTTTATCTCTAGAGTTGGCTGGCGACTTAATGAGATGCGAATAGGGTTCACATAGGCCAAACAACATTGAAATTTGCCAGATTTTTTTTTAAATAAAGGTTTTTTTATTCGTACTGTTCAAAAATTTAGAATCTTTTCATGTTAAATATTATCACAATATTAGTCATATGTATATGACCATAACTTGTGCAGGACACCTAAGAATTTTTTTACATTAAAAAATTGGTTTTGTTGTCGATTTTTTCATCTACTTTTAAAGTTTTTAATATTTTTAAAAGAAGCTTATTACAACGCATTTAATATCTTAAGAGTTATTGGTTATTGTCCGTGAATCTATCATGTTTTTTAAACAAACGTGCTAAGATTTTAGCGTAAAAACTGCTTTTTTTCAATCCTAGATACGCTTGATGTGGGTTTATTTGCTGCGGTAAATATCCAGCTTGTTGAAACATCCTGTTTGCTTTGGTTGCTTTCTGGTGCTAAATGTCTGGGGTCAGGGTTCACCTGTGGTAAAGAATGATCCCATTTCCGCTTACCTGTGCGGTTATCATCGGGGAGATCAACGCTGCTTGGGCCAGATCGAGGCTTTGTTGTTTCTAATTGTTCTGGCCACCTTTTGTTTATTACAACTGTCTCGGACTGGGTTCTGCTTGCTGTACTAGGGGAAGACTGTCTTGTCTGCTAGGTGTCGATATGCGCAGGAGAGGCCTTGGTGACTATTTTGAGAGAAAGTGGTAAAATGGGCTAAATGTTATGTATGTACAACCTCTTTTACGTATCTTTTAATTTCTTTAAATTTTAGCGTGAAGATCTGCACTGGTCCCAAATGATTGGTTGATATTATTAGGTCTTGGGAAAATAGCGAAGGGGGAAATATTGGAAGGGGGGAAAATATGTTGTTTTTGGACATATTGTGATAACCGGCGTATCAGTTTGTTGTAAAGGTCGTACATTGGACAGACACTTTAGAATGAAATCGAGTCAAGTCGTTTTGTTTCTACTTTCTTATTTCTTACATGGACTAAGGTCCGACTTTAGTGTCCCAGGTGTGGAGGCTGCTTCGCGTTGTAGAGGAATCTACCAAATGTCCGCTGTAAGCTGATTTTAATGTAAACACTTGGTCCATCTATGTTTTACATCTCCAGGACTTTTTTAAAATTGGAGATTTGTAATGCTGAAACCTCTATATCAAGCATTTAAATCACAAATCTTTGTACGTAGATGTCCTGTTAAGGTGTGCTGGTCTGTTAGACGTAAATCACTCCGGCTCTCCGGAACATGGGGTGTCCTTAACTGAGTGACCACCATATGGTAGTACCAGCCAGTGGTAACCTAAAGGTTACCTTTTGCTGAGTGACCACCATATGGTAGTACCAGCCAGTAAAGGTTACCTTCTCCCCACCTTGCAAGCACACCAGTGAGTTGTTCGAGTCCGTGTGACCCTAAGTCCTGGTTCACATCCCCAGACAAGCAGCGCACCTGCCGGCCAATCTAGTGAGGTCCTGGGTCTAGTGCTCCGTGCACGGCATGACATACAAGTACACAGTGGGAAGATTACGTTAAAATGTCAAGATTTGACACAGACGGGAAAATGGTCCCAATCTTTATGTACGCAGCTTTTATTGAGAGATAAAAATGGTGGCTACAGAAAGACTTAAGTACAAAGACACGTCTTCACATTCTAGGTTTCGGCGCATTCAAGAAAATAAAACGTGTCTCTATTTGAAGTCCTTCGACTGTTGCCACGGTGAAGTATGGAATACGTTGTACCGGTGTATCATTCACACATCGTTTGACCTGTTCATCTGATTGGGGTGTGTGTATCAGCTGGTCTATACACAATTTGTATCTGAATTTGAAAATCTCCCAATACTTCCATGCTCCCAGTCCACTACGCCGAAAGGAAATCAAAGACGGAGGCGGTTCCCCGGTGAACTCACCTTGAATGAGTCACTTCCTGTAACACGAGCGTTTTTTAATAATCATATAAATCAAACATCCTTATCAGAGAGGCCTTTCACCTCCCACTTTTTTATCTGCAGGTAATCGGCTAGCTGTCTTTATAAACGGCTCTCTAATTTCTTCAACATTTTGTTTTAAAGTTACATTCATATAACGGCAATACTTACTTGCGCGGTCATATGAAACATTAGTGCTTTCTGTAGATCCGACTTTGCCTCTTCACTTAATAGATTACACGTGCTACTTGCCTGAAACCATCCTCTGTATCTTAGAAGATTAACGTGGAATTGGTGAAAAAATCCACGCTTTCTCAATTTTCACTATTTTTGGAAACTCTATTCGGTGTTTCTCTTAAATGCATTCCAAAACTTTTGAGGGTGTTCGATATTTTTCTAGAACTATCTTTTTTGTTTGTTTAGACTACATCAAGAAGTCTAAAGGTATTACTAGAATAAAATGTAAATGGGTTTGAGTGAATTGAAGTCTCAGTTAACGTAGTGTGTTTTAGTTTAATTGAATAACTATTGCAGTTTTAACGGTTTTATAGCCAAACTGAGTTGTTCCGAACTTTTTTGTTTAAAACTTACTAATTATACTAGAACAGCTGTCAATAATTAAGGCATATGTGCTTGATTAACTGAAAGAAACGCCTTATTATTAACATATTTTAAGAGTATTTAGTTTTATTAAACTTTTAACACCTGGTTTTTTCATTTCATAAATATTGTTCTACCCCTCTTCTCCCAAACTTGACTGCACTTCTCCCCTCCCCTAATCATGTTTACTTGCCCTCGCCAAAAACGCTTCCGCCAGACTTGACGGTTTCCTATTCTTGTATGAAATGTTGGTTTTAAAAACCCGCATTGAAGTTACCACGGTTTGAATTTGCTTTGTTGTGGTAAGATGGAACACTGGTTGAAGGGCGATGTAAACTGTTCAGGAAGTTTCAGCTAAATCACACACTTTCTTTTAGTGTAAGTTGTTGGATAATGCAGAACCCAACCTACTTGATTATTATTTAAATCGTATGTTTTCAGCTGCAAGTTGTTATACAATACTGTTTTTATGCTTAGTTACGCCAGACAAAGCAGTACAGTACTATATCGAGGTTTTTATATATTTATTAAAAAATTTTTTTTTTTTTTTGCTAGGGTTGTTGTTGGGGTTAGGGTATCAAAATTAATCTCAGAGATAATATAAGCGCATAAAATACTTAATAGTCCGTATGCCATAATGGAACTTATCTCTCCCCCTATCCTGTGCCGTGAGGGTGTGTTCCCCATCGATCTTTCTGTACCTTCTTTAAACAACAAATAGATGGTTTTACACCTTCCTTCCTCCACCAAACTCTTCAACACGTGCTCTGACTAATGGGTTAACCGTCGTTATGGACGCCACAAAACCTGTGTACACGTCATGGAGCCTCTTTCTGTTCACATTTAACTGTCACGCTGTATCTATCACACTCATAGATAAGCCTGAATTGTAATTGCTGCGTATAATAAAACTTCAATGTTTTTTTTTCTTCTTACAAGTTCCTTTTTTGTACATTTGCTACTTCAATAGCTGTGTACCCACAATAATATTGTCAAGTGAAAATTGTCCTCTTAATAGTTTAGCTGTTGACCTAAGGGTAAATAACTTGTCTTGTACGCCTGAAACCCAGTTTTAAAAGCCAGCGATCACAACAGCTTGAATCTATCTCATCCTCCTACAACCTTTTTTTCTGCCTTGAAGGAATCAAAAGAACTTAGCCTAGAAATGATAAGCCTGGTGACTGTATTACACCTGAGTACCCCAGAAGGGGGAGGGTTTTGTGAGGGAGAGGGGAGCTATCACTCTCCTCCCCAGCCCGCCCCACCCGCACGTTAAAAAAAGCGTGGAGTACTCACACCTTGAGCATGCACGATTGAGAGTTTGAATGATGTTAGCTCACCTAGCGTGAGATGGCAGCGTAGTGAGACAGATTTTTTCCTGGTGTTTCTCAAGGATACACGGACTTGTGTCGTCTGGTTGGACATAGTGTTTATGACCTGATGATTCTCTTTGTGTGTGCTATAGCGTAGATCGGTTATCCTAGTGTCTTGTGTGGTCAGTAGCTTCTCTGGTTGGATTATAGTCCCGTGACCTGAAATAGTTGTTTCGTATATGGTTCCATTCGGACAATCGTATCTGTGTTTCATTGAACATGATGTACGGTAACACTTTTTGTTGAAATAAGACTAGTCTTGTTGTAAAATATCATTATGATTTTAAAATAATGGAGTATTTAAAAAAAAAAAACTTCAGGAGACTTGTACCTTTTCAATGAGTTGCTCAATATGAATGATACAACAATTAAAAGTTTTAAAGCAAGCGTATTCTGGACTTTTGACGAAAATCTAGTTGAATGTTGTTGTGTTTTTTATTTAAATGTAGCTCTTTGAGTTGTAAATCACTTTTTAATAACGCGTCTATTGCCTGTATTTAAAAATAACGTCGGAAAACCTTCCCCTACAGTTCCAGTTGAACAGCCACATTATGAATTTTATGCCACCCGTTGTTTCGTGTCAACTTTTTATCATCGGTCTGAAATGTTTTCAATACACCCTGGGCATGAAATGGATTCAAGGCCTCATACTGTCGCCAGCCCCTTGTGAAGGGGTGCTGTTTATGTTACCTTTCATTTCACTATTATCTGCTTCAACCTCCTATACAAATGTTTCTAGCTCTTAAAATAACACGTTTTGATAAGGATGTTCAATTATTTCTTATGTCTTTTCTCTCTCGATTTTTTTCCTTGTATATTGCGCTGTTAAGTCGTTACAGGTTTTTCCCCTGGGCATACAGATGTAGATATGGCTAAGAGTTAAAATATACGGTTGTATCTTTGTCCTGCTCAATGTTAACGGCGTCATTTCGTGATGTGGCGGATAGCATCGCTTAATGTTACCACCACTCGTTCACTCCGGTATTGCGTCGGTCTATGACCTCACCGGCCTGTTCCTGCTCTCATTGGCAGCTGTATTACAGCCCAGGAAATCAACAAGAACAATTTCAAATATAGTTGTTCGTAGCCCTATGCGCATTATATCCATTTAGGCTTTCGATTCTACCCAATCTTATTTGTATATTGCTATAGAGAGCGCGACGGGCGGATGGGTAATTTGATACTAACACAAGTCCATCTGACCTCTGTAGCACCTGACTGAAAGGTCAGCGAGTTTGTTGTTTTCCGCCCACACAACTGTACTCTACCATCTGAAGTTAACCCACAGATCCAGTGCTAACTACATACCTTTTGTTGGTTCTCTACTGACTCTTGTTTGGGTGATCAACTCTTCACAACCTCTGATTAGTAGACTCAGCTTAGTTGTTCGTTGTATAACTTGAAATTAAGAATGCTTGTTAATATTCTGTTCCAACTTAAAGTTACTAGTGCACTAACACATTGAGTTTTAAAAAGATTTGAAAATGGATGATTGTTCGATATGTTCAGTTTGCCTAGTATTAAAACCGCCAGTTGTAGTGCTGTATGTAGTCTACCTATTGAAGTAGTGTGGAGTGTCTGCGGTTTCCCCGTACAGTGTGAAGGTACCGTCTGCTGATCATCTCTGACACGTATGTTGTACACGGACTTGCATGGGTCCGTCCCGTGTGCATTTTTTAACCAAACAAACATCCCCCCTACTCTCCAACAAACATCCCCCCTGTTCTCCAACAGATGGGATCGTGTGCTTGTTCTATGCCCTTATGTGACGTGTCAGCGTCTCATCGAAGATTGGCGTGTTTTACCGGTACAAAGACTTCTTTACTCACTGTTTTATAACTCCCCTTTGTTGGTCGCAACACAGTGACTGGTGTACACTGTATAAGAGCTGCTATTGTCGTTTACTCCATGCATCAGCCTCTACCTGTATTAGCCTCTACCTGTTTTAGCCTCTACCTGTATCAGCCTCCAATATTATGTACTACGCCACTCTGTATTAGCCTCTAGTATTCTGTACTACACCACTCTGTATTAGCCTCTACCTATATTAGCTTCTTCTGTACTACACCACTCTGTACACTCTGTATTAGCCTCTACCTGTATTAGCCTCTACCTGTATTAGCCTCTGCCTTTATCAGCCTCTACCTGTATCAGCCTCTAGTATTCTGTACCACACCACTCTGTATTAGCCTCTACCTGTATTGGCCTCTACCTGTATTAGCCTCTGCCTTTATCAGCCTCTACCTGTATCAGCCTCTAGTATTCTGTACCACACCACTCTGTATTAGCCTCTACCTGTATTGGCCTCTACCTGTCTTAGCCTCTACCTGTATTAGCCTCTACCTGTATTAGCCTCTACCTGTATTGGCCTCTACCTGTCTTAGCCTCTACCTGTATTAGCCTCTAGTATTCTGTACCACACCACTCTGTATTAGCCTCTACCTGTATTGGCCTCTACCTGTCTTAGCCTCTATTAGCCTCTAGTATTCTGTACTACACCACTCTGTATTAGCCTCTACCTGTATTGGCCTCTACCTGTCTTAGCCTCTACCTGTATCAGCCTCTAGTATTCTGTACTACACCACTCTGACTTAGCCTCTACCTGTATTAGCCTCTACCTGTATCAGCCTCTAGTATTCTGTACTACACCACTCTGACTTAGCCTCTACCTGTATTAGCCTCTAGTATTCTGTAGGAGACCGACCTCAATAGCCACATATCCCATCTGAAGGCGGCCCCACATGCTAGTACTGTTTGGCCAAATAGGATTCTAAAAGTCTCTCCTGTAAACGCTCCTGACCTTTTTCCTGTGTTTACTGTGCTTGGTTGACGTTACAGGGGGCAATGTTGAATGGCTGCTTGCTCTGGAACTAGTCAAGCTATTCTACGATTAGACTGCTGCTAAACTTGTAGAATTTCTTTACTGCCACTAGCAAATCTTATTGGTGGGGCTATTGTTCGAACTAACATTGTTACAATCTTGTTTGTTTTTCCTTGAGCTAACTCCATGTATAAAGTTGTCCAGTCAGCTGTAGACTAGTGTTAGTACTGGTATTGTTACAATCTTGTTTGTTTTTCCTTGAGCTAACTCCATGTATAAAGTTGTCCAGTCAGCTGTAGACTAGTGTTAGTACTGGTATTGTTACAATCTTGTTTGTTTTCCTTGAGCTTACCCCATGTATAAAGTTGTCCGGTCAGCTGTAGACTAGTGTTAGTACTGGTATTGTTACAATCTTGTTTTTTTTTCCTTGAGCTTACTCCATGTATAAAGTTGTCCGGTCAGCTGTAGACTAGTGTTAGTACTGGTATTGTTACAATCTTGTTTGTTTTCCTTGAGCTTACCCCATGTATAAAGTTGTCCGGTCAGCTGTAGACTAGTGTTAGTACTGGTATTGTTACAAACCTGAGTGACCCAGTTGTTTTTTCTCTCTGCTAGGCCCAGTCCTCCCACTACGTATTCCCCAATGACCCCTTTAGAGGGATCCTGTACCCCGATGTGGCGATACGGCTAATCCACTATAGGCTTGGGAAATTTCCGGTGGAAATTGATTCATCAAAGAGCGACCTACCGTCTTTCTGATTGAGATTAAATCTCGTGGCCCGAAGTTAGGGATGTTTTTCTTTAAAACCATGTACTCAATAGCATTATGGTAAAGGGAAATCGGCCATTTTGTCGCAAAGAGAAGAAATGTGGTTGCTAGAGCAAAAACAAATTCATAACTCTAAAAATCAGCTTTTGAAAAAAAAAAATGAGTACTGTAGCGTTAGAAAAATACATTTCAGGATCTAAACAGGTAATTTTGCAGGCGGCAATTATTAAGATGCCCCAGGTAAAGATAAATTAATTATCTTCGCCGTTAATCTCAACAATCCTAATGAAGCGGGCATATATCTTATCATATCGTGTTGACATTATCAAGGTACCGTATTTTAGAAATGAGATCTTTTAAAATTAGTTTCTATTTTTGCCGTAAATAAACAGTTGACAATGAATCAAGGGGTACCCTCAAGCTGCTGTGATGATGTCACGTGTTCACCATGTGTACAAATAACCAATAGGATCCTTGCGGCAGGGAGTTTATCAACATTCTTCCTTAGCCATTGATATTCTAAGTGCGCCACGTTTTCATTAACTATGGCGATAGATTCTTTTGTGGTTTAGTTTTTCTTGACTGCCTGCTTCTTAATAATCCCACATCCTGATATGAAAAGAACCTCCAGTTTTAAAACCCTAGCTACAAACAGACGCGAGGTTGTAAATGTTTCAAGTCGTGCGATATTATCTAGTTCTAACATTGGGTATTGCTCACTGACCCCTCACTGATCCGCTCACGTTGTTTTTTTCCCTCCTCCTCGCCTCCTCCTACCCACCTCCTGTTTCCAAGACAGGCTTGACAAGAGTGGAAGAGAAATTATCAGTGCACCTGGACCGTTATCAAATAAATAGATTCCCATAAAAGCTTCATAGTCACGGGCTGAACATGGCTTTTATAAGGCAGCGATGAATCATTGAACTAGCCGTGTAGTCCATTTTCTCTTTGATGCTGCAGTCTTTCTCTCCTCATTGCTATGGGTCTCGTTTAGATTGCATACTTGTGCTCCTTTGTGTGCCCTTTAAAATCTGGATATAGAGTGAGACTAAATGAAACAAATCTAAAGTTTTAATACCTGGCGTGGCTACATTTCCTTGTACACTGTAGTCAGCACCAACAGTATGCTAACAATAGTGTCGCTGTTGTGTTTTTTTAATAGTAATTTTAGGTCTTCCGCTCACTCTATCGCTGTTGTATAAACTTCATTTTTTTTTTTAAATTATTTTGTTTTTGCTTGATGATTAAACCCAAGTTTATAAGTTACAACCCGAAGCGTTGGGCAAGAAATTAATTGCCTATTTTATTAGGAGGAAGAGGGTAATTACTCGAATCTAAATAGTTTGGGGGTAATTACTAGATTCTAATTTCTAGCCGTGTTTGTGGTATAGAAATATATCACATCTTTTGACGCGCATTGAACAGCTTTGGTCATGGTCTTATCATTTGTCAGATGAACCACGTTAATCGTTTGTAACTATTCGGTAAAAGGACAAATGTTTTATTTATTTCAGCATCCAAATTCGGTAAAAGGACGAATGTTTTATTTATTTCAACAGCCATATTCGGTAAAAGGACAAATGTTTTATTAATTTCAACAGCCATATTCGGTAAAAGGACAAATGTTTTATTAATTTCAACAGCCATATTCGGTAAAAGGACAAATGTTTTATTAATTTCAACAGCCATATTCGGTAAAAGGACGAATGTTTTATTAATTTCAACAGCCATATTCGGTAAAAGGACAAATGTTTTATTAATTTCAACAGCCATATTCGGTAAAAGGACGAATGTTTTATTTATTTCAACAGCCATATTCGGTAAAAGGACGAATGTAAAATTTATTTCAACAGCCATATTCGGTAAAAGGACAAATGTTTTATTTATTTCAACAGCCATATTCGGTAAAAGGACAAATGTTTTATTAATTTCAACAGCCATATTCGGTAAAAGGGCGAATGTTTTATTTATTTCAGCAGCCATATTCGGTAAAAGGACGAATGTTTTATTTATTTCAACAGCCATATTCGGTAAAAGGACGAATGTTTTATTTATTTCAACAGCCATATTCGGTAAAAAGACAAATGTTTTATTTCTAAATCCAAATACGGTAAAAGGACGAATGTAAAAAAAATTTCAGCAGCCATATTCGGTAAAAGGACGTATTTATTTTCAGCAGCCATATTCGGTAAAAGGACGTATTTATTTTTAACAGTCATATTCGGTAAAAGGGCGAATGTTTTGTTTATTTCAACAGCCAAATTCGGTAAAAGGACGAATGTAAAATGTATTTCAACAGCCATATTCGGTAAAAGGACGAATGTAAAGAAAATTTCAACAGCCATATTCGGTAAAAAAAAAACGAATGTTTTATTTATTTCAACAGCCATATTCGGTAAAAGGACAAATGTTTTATTTCAGCAGCCATATTTGGTAAAAGGACAAATGTTTTATTTCAGCAGCCATATTCGGTAAAAGGGCGAATGTAAAATTTATTTCAACAGCCATATTCGGTAAAAGGACAAATGTTTTATTTCAGCAGCCATATTTGGTAAAAGGACAAATGTTTTATTTCAGCAGCCATATTCGGTAAAAGGGCGAATGTAAAATTTATTTCAACAGCCATATTCGGTAAAAGGGCGAAAGTTTTATTAATTTCAACAACCAAATTCGGTAAAAGGACAAATGTTTTATTTCAGCAGCCATATTCGGTAAAAGGGCGAATGTAAAATTTATTTCAACAGCCAGCCTTGAATTGGCTCTGTTTGAACTTGGTTAAAACTTTGAAGAACAGAGAAAACGATTATTTAATTTTCATTTCAACAGCTAGTTTCGACTCGACTTTAAGTGCGCAGAAAAGATTTTTTTTTTTTAAAACAGCTAATTTCGACTTGTCTTGGTCTGTTTGAACGTTTGTAGAAGAGGACCAAGTTAATGTCAGCAGACAATTGTGAGCTGTGCCTGTTTGAACCCGTGGCCCGTCTATCTGGCATCAGAGCGGGGATCGGCCCGCCTGATACCCGCAACACGGGCTGACGTGGGCTCTGGTTTCCTGGACCCCGCCGGCTATCTGACACACGGACACATCTTAGTCTTCTTAACGTTGCTAGAGTTTAAACATTTTTAAACGTTGGTACATGGAGTGGCATTGATCTCTTGAATAGCGGTGTCAAAGTTAAAAAAAAGAGAAAGGTTACTAGAAGCGGTAGTCTCCACCAAACTGAACTCGTTCAGGAAGGATGGAGTCGACAGGTAGAAGACTTTTAGAAATATTCTCGCGGTGTCTTCAGCCTGCCAGCAGCTTGAGATGTTACGTCATTCGGTGGTTTCCTACCTTTTTATCTCGTTTGCCGTCTTTTGTAGCCGTTTATCTTATCTAACAAGCGTTAGTGTAGGATGTAATGACGTTCGCTGCAAGTTGAACAAACCCAGCATGTAGTAAATAGAAGAGTTGTTGGGATGGGTGGCCGAATGGTTCCATACGTTGCTGATTGATGAAATGGTTGACCACTGGTGTCTGGCTTTAATTGCTTGTCCGCTTTAGCCTAATGACTTTATAGTTTGTTTTTCTCACGCAGATTTCCGCTCATTCTGCCGTCCAATATCGCGTTAAAAACAGTTTCCTTTTCGAGTTATCGTCCTTAAAAAGTAAAGGAAATAATTTAAAATACAATAGGGTCTTTGGAAAACGTCTGTGTGCCGCATTGATTGGCTCTGTTTCTTTAAGATAGAGGTGTCTTCTAGCAGTGTGAGAGCCTTTGTTAGAGTCTGGCCTGTTTGATAGTACTCATTCCGTGTGTCTGGCCTGTTTGATAGTACTCATTCATTGTCTTGCTGTGGGACCAGCAAATCGTATGTCTGCAGGTGCGCGTCCTATATGCCAGGCTGGAATACTCCGTTTTTACCTGTCATTGTCTTTGAGGTTTCCCCGGGGCTAAATCATGGCCAAATCAACATTGGGCTGGTAAATGTTAGATGTGCTTCGTGTACATCAACGCGGATTTACTTTAAGCACGGCTTAGCAGTCAGATGTTGTTTTTACTGCTGGGCTGTGTTTGGTTAATGTTGGGAAGTGAAGGTGTGTTGACACGTACATGGTTATTACACCTCTACGTGAGGATTCTGTTTGTTTCTTTCTGTAGCTTGTACAAATAGTTGATTCATGTTCACTTTGTTTCTACAACTCAACAGAGTAGTTTAGTTTACAACTGGTGATAGTGTGCTCAAAAAATATTTGGATTTCTTATACAAAGTTGTCGGATTGCAAAAACGTTTGATGTGTAATTAAAACCTAAAACTGTACCACCCGAACTTAAATGAGGTAGTTGGTGTCACGGAGCTAAGGCTTACGGTGACCCCCGTGTATTGATGCTGTGGTTGGAGTGAGCGCTTGATTCCTCCAGTCGGCTCGTCACACAATGTCACGTTACAGCAATGGATTCAACCACCGGCCAGCTAGCACGGGGATATACATGTCTCTGTGGGAAAACAAGCTCCAGGAACTTGTGGTAAATCTTTGACAGTTTTTTTATTCTTTATACACACTTTTTGTACACGTTCTGTAACCATGCGTGGGTGTCAGCTGTATAGGAACTTAAGTTGGTGACGCAAATATTTTTTTTTTAATTAGGTAATTGTATTGTACAAGTCTTTTATGTTATGAACTAAGTCACGAGAACTGCTTCGTATATTTGACTTGTATCACACATAAAAAAAAAAAATGTCTCTTACAAAGAACAAGAGTTAATGGTAAAATAAGCAAATACACTACACACCTTTTTTTTTTTAAATTCTCATTCCGTCACTCCAATAGTCAGACATGTTTCTCTCACGTAAGTTTTCATTTCTCTTGTATTTATCCCTATATGCCTAGTAGTAGCAGCCAAGGGTTTGTTTACCCTGATATATTTTATTTACAAACCTTGATACACAACGGTGATGTTGGTATTTAACCGGACACCACCTATAGTAACATAGGCTTTTCATAAATCAGTTGTTAGCTACAGCCTGTACCGCCCCCGCCCACCTCACCCTTTTCTCCTCTCCCCCCCCCCCCCCCCCCCCCCCTCAGATTAGCTCCCCTGTTGACCAGCTACCCCCCGACATCTTCCCACTTGATACACCAAATCTTCTCGCCTCGCTACAGGTTCAAGGGAAATAAATCTAGTTATCAATGTTTTTACTCGAGAATTATCTTTCACTTCTTGTTTTCCGCCGTAGCGGCGCCTGTGCTTGTCGTAGTACTAGCCCACTAGATGTAGTTGTAAACTCGAATCAGCGCTGTGTAACAACATGGAGAGACTCGCTCTTTGTACGACCCTCCACGCTTCCCCTATAACCCCTGCCCGTGCTGATAGCACGTGACGTCAGTCGTCCATCCGTTCTTTTGTTTATGCCTAGCATACATGTTTATAATGTGCATACATTTACAAACTGCATGTCTTTGTTGGGTGGGGTGTGTTAGGTGCTAAGTGATAGATAGATCACCAGTCATAGAATGCTTTACACCTGTCTTGGATGTTGAGCGGGTTTACTTGGTGTTATAGATACCAATCTCTGAATGGGTGGGTGAGGGGGGGGTAGATATTTGGAAGGGTACCCAAAGGAAATTCTCATAGGATGTGTTTACAAAAAATATTTCTGCAAACACTTTTTGCATCAGTAATTTTTTTTAACTGGGGGAGGGGGGTGGAGATAGAGAAACTGTGTACACTATTGTTTTGTTAAAATCATTTCCATGTTACTTAACTGTGTTGAGTGTGTGAGTGCATGTTGTGAGGCCATGTGTGAATTGACCATCAGCTTTTAACATTGATCTGGCTGGCTGGGTAGGAAATCAACTGCTACAATCTCAAGTGTTGTTTTTTTTTTTATCTCTCCTTTAAACAAAGCTGGCATTGTACATCTACCTGTTGCTCTTGGTGGTGGGGAGTTTGATGGTTACTTTAAAAACAATATTTTAGAGAATGGGGTAAAAAATTATTTTAGAGAATGGGTAAGCTGTTTTCTAAGTCAAATGAAAGAAAACCTTTAAAATAACAATACTTAAATATTCTGGGCTTGATAAAATGACACATGATCTGTGAAGTAATTAAACACTTTTGTAATCAGCAGTAAGACTAGTAAAAGGTTTTTTATGTACACTTTATTATATTTTAACAACTGTTAGGTTTTAGAAACAAATATGGCTTGGCTTTATAATAAGTGAAGGATTTATATCTTCTACAATTTAAATCCTACTTCCTCTGTCTATCTACACAAATAATTAAAAATAAGACAAGCAGATTTAATTATATGTTTTCATTGGGCTTCCATTCTGACAGGAATCAAAACACTCTAGAGTTTTCTTCTTGAATTCAAAACTTAATTGATAAAAATATGATATCAGAGTTTTACCTGTAACTAGGTCAAGGATATAAAAATAATTTTTCACAGGATGTTCCTTTATGTGCATGTGTTTACCTACAGAAACTGTATTAAGTTGCCATGATTACATTTTATTCTAGCTCTTTTATTTTACTTCCCCTTTCTATTCCAACTCACATACAGTGACATTTTAATGTTACTGGCTGAAATATAGGGACAAAAATACTCTTCTAAAACAATAACTAAACAAAATATCTGCTTTAATTGTTATTCAAATAGCACAATGTATTTATACAATGGTACAAATTCAGTGAGCAACTAAAACTGCAAACAAAATTCTCAGTCCATCAATCAATAAAATGGTGCAGCCCATCAAACAATAAAATTGTGCAGCCCACCAAACCATAAAATTGTGCAGCCCTCTAAGCTTTGTGTATTCTCTCTCTCCTCCACAGGAGCTGCTCACTAGGTCCAGCCTTGAACACCATAAACTGGACTTGATGGCCGAAGTTTCTCATTTAAAAATGAGACTGTCATCCGCAGAGAAGGACAGAAGAGAACTGGATGACAGATTCAGGGCAGTTCAAGTAAGCAGAAATTTCATTTTCTGAGAGGCTATTCAAAGGCTTTTGCTCGCCTCATCAAAATTTTAGCAGCTGTTAAGTGATGTTAACTCACAAATTCATAAAGCTCTCCCAGAAAATAAGTCCGGTGTCTTAATGATCAACATTTTTGTTTGAAAATTCAGATGGCATTTTACTCTAAGATTGCATTTTACTTAATCCATAGCTATTTTTAAAATGTTTATTCCCAGACTAATTACAATTTTTATCTGTTGTCTACACTATTTTTGTATGAAGTAAAATGTGTAAGTCTTCAATATTTAATGTTAATTTTTAAGTTTCCTAGTAAATAATTTTATCTACAACAGAAAATAAAAGAGCATATAATTTAGATTTTACTTAAGAAACACAAACATTAATGTAAAAAATATCACATATTAATAGTATGATGAGTTTTTATTTTTTATTTTTACTTGTATAATTTAGGTGTAGCCTACAAACAAAAATGATTTATTGTTTTTGTATCTTTATTTTTTTCTTCTGCCTATCCAACAATTAGAAAATGCTTAACCTGCAACTGTTTATCAAGCTGATAGTTGCAGTCCCCCTAATAGAAGCTGACAAGACATTGACAATCCTCATAGTTCATCCAGTTTACAGTATGTTTTTTCCATGTTACAGAGGCAGGTAACAGAGCTGGAGGCTAAACTGTTGATGAAAGATGCAGAAAACTCAGAGCTGCGCCTCAGGCTAGGAAGAAATGGAACACTACCCCTAGATAGTTCAGGTATGTTGAGTATAACTTGTAAGTTTCATTTTACATTTACCCCAGATATTTTAAATTGAGTACATTAGGCAGAGCTTTTTATTCTGAGTGTTTTTTTAACATGGTGTTAAAGTAGCTAATGTGTTTTGTTGTAGTATACCTAGGTTAGGTAGTATCAGAAAGACACTGATCAACATGCTGTTTGATTTGCAGATACTGAGGTGGAGAAATTGAAAAGGGCTATTGATACGTTAATGCTGGCTAATGAAGAAAAGGTGATGGTTTGTTTTGGTTCTTTTCAAAGTACAAAGCCAGTTGGTAAATTATTGTTATGCTGAGGTTAGGTTTCTGGCTCAATTATAATAATTTTTAATACTAGTATCTTAAATAGCTAACGAAGAAGTGTTGGGTTAATTTTTTTTTAAGAATTCTTTAAGATTTTCATGTTACAAAACATTGAGAATCAATTGGATTGGTACCTTGTTTTAGCCTTATTTATGGCTTTTATGGACATTTTTACAGCGTTTATTTAGAGAACTGCACTAAATCCACATAACTAATCATGCTGGTTGATCTTTCAATATCATAGAAAATAGCTCAGGATATTTTCTCACATAAAGATTTAAATTTTCTACTGACAGGAGAGAAAACTGGAAGACATGAGACGATTATTGAAGCGCTACAGAAGAGTGGAAGAAATATTAGTACAGGCTCAAGGTCGGAAAGGTAAGAAAGGTTTTGTCAAGCTCGTTGCTTCCTTGGTAAAGGTGTCAACTTCATATAGTTATGGAAAGTGAGTGGTATGTTTATTCTATCTTGTTGTGTCAGTGTGTGTATACATACTTGTCTTTGGGTTGAATGTGATACAATTAAATAAGCTAACCTTACAGAGACATATAACTAAAACAAACAAAAAACTACTAAGTACCAAGACCCAAACATGCTATAACAAAAAAAAAATGAGGCAATGTATAAAGGAGTGTAATCAAACTTTAATTTGATCACAAATGTTGTTCCTTTGTTAAAAATTACCCAACCTAATTTTTCCTGCAGCTGTAGAGGAGCTGCTGATGAATATTGAAGATGGTGACACCAGCTCCAACAGCTCCTCCACAACACCCTCTGTGGGGGAGACAGCAATCAGGGATCAGCCATATGTAAGTCTGTTGTTTGGTAGAATAGGCATCTACTAGGGGAAGCTACTACTTATGTTTGACTTGTTCTTTTTTATAATCATGAGTAGTTAAGGGGAGAGAAGGCTTATTTTATTTTTTGGGATCTTTGGTATTAATTTTTCAGTTAGATTTTTTTAATCAAGACTATCTACCACATAAAATAAAAAAAGTAAAGATTTTGTATTAATAATATTTTTTTAAATGTCAATGTTGTAGCCAATGTTTCATCCTGATGATCGACCAGACAAGCATTATCTTTCTTCACCTAGTGCTACCAGCACACCTAGTAAGTCATCAGTTTTGTTGTAGACTGGCATGTAATGAATGAATCCCTGAATGTAAGCAGGGGGTCCCATTTGTCAGTACTTGATGAAGCTATTTTGTGTCTGGTTGCAGTGCATCAGTTGAACACCAGTTTTAATGGTGGCAATGCTGTGTCCTCTATACCTGTCAACTCTAGACAAGCCATGGGGATGACACGCTCAAACAGTTGTGAACATTTGGTGCCGGGATCTAAACCAAAGGTGAGCTGACAGTGGCAGGCTGGCTTTTATTTCATGCTCAATTTGTAGCTAAAGTTAAATTGTGTGTGCATGGGGTGTTTAGCTGTCAAATCAGGGTTTGGTTGGACATGAGTCAACTCAGTTTTATTGTGTAGCTTACCATAGTTGGAGGAAGTAAAGGTAGCTGGGTTATAAAATATGATGGAACTGTACAACATCGGGTTCAAAAGTACAACATTAGGGTTCAAAAGTGCAACATCAGGGTTCAAAGGTACAACATCAGGTTTCAAAAGCCACTTTATTTAACCTCCCAGAACACAAAAGGTTTGCTTATATTTTCTGTTTCTATTTTTGCAGACACCGTCATTCAGAAAGAAAGACGAGCAGTCCCCGGTAGGTGGCCCCCCTCCAGGATCAGGCGGATATGGTACGTTACCCAAGCAGCGCAGTAAAGAAGATGTTCGGGAGGGTAAAAGGTCCCGTGGGTTCCACAGCCTGGGCAAAACACTCCTGAGGGTTAGGTCAGGCAAACGAAGCAGCTCAGCTCCTAATCTAGGTGACACATTAGAGGGCGGCAACGCCTGGCCTGCTGTGTGTATTCGTTGGCCTTTTTCTCATTTCTGGCCTGCATGGATATGGATTTATACACGTTCTTCTCATAACCAGTAACAGGTTTCCATTAGCCTCGCTCAGATAATCAATTCAATATTTTCTTCATATTTCATCTGCCCTACCCAAAAAAACCCACCAAATTCTTACAATTAGTTTTTTTTTAAATCCTACTAAAAGCTGAGGCTTAATTTTTGTACAAGTCGCTCCTTGTATTTTGTGTTATTAAATAAAGTAAATGATTCCTTTTAAGTTGTAAACATTTTATCATTCTGTAATCTTCTCTCATTTTGACTTAAGTGGCATCACTGCACAATGTCATGAATTTAAAACATCCCTATAGCCAATAGAGCACACGTACATGAATGACATTTTAAAGCTTATTTACACTTGGCCATTTGTGGCAAGTTTGAGAAATGTATTTTTTCCTTAGAAGAGATAGATAAAATATTGCTCTAAATCTCCTGTCATGGAGGTAAGTAGACACTGCATGTTAACATTTTTTGGCCTAAAACTGCAGAAAGAAAAGAACCAATTCACCCAGCATGATCACATGACACAGTAGCTTTGGTTTGGTCAAGATGACAAATTTGGCTCTGCTTTTTGATTTTGTTGTTTTTTTTTCTTCAGTTTTAACCAACTCAACTTAAAATCATATCAGTTTACTCCTATGAGAAAAACCTTTTTATTTGTATTGTTTTTAGCTATTGGACAATTAATTAATTGATCACATAAGTTGATAATTATTACATTTAAGTGTATTCCCTATTTACAAGATAATAGGTGTAAGCTATTATTTATCTAACCCATTATTATTGTCATATATAATCAAATCTCAAATATAATCAGTTTCATCTTAAAGTAACACAATTTAATTATAAATGTTAATTACATGTACACAGACAAAAAAGAGGTGGTATTCTCTAACATGTATATTTGTCTTAGATCAAGACATCTAATATTTTAACCATCCATACTTTATTGTATTTGTGTAATTAAGTAGTTAATTTAAAAAGCTTAATCATGACACTTAAATTTATAATTTCATAGAAAATAATAAGACAAAACATTTAATTTATTTTTGCTTGTTTACTTCTTAAAAAAAGACTTTAAAATTTAATGTTTATTTATATCTTATTTAATATTTAAGAACCCATTTAGAATGTAGATATAAATTTCCCATATTTTGTTTATAGGAACACAAATTTAATCCTATTTTTTCACTTGACCAATGTGTACACAAAGCTGTACTTTAGCATACATTGAGTCTCCTGTTTATTTCTTTTTGTTTGAATGTCTTCACTGTGATGTGTTGAACCACTTGTCACTAAACTAGAACAGATTTGTTGCTATGATGTAGCTGAACCAGCTGAATGATCACTTTTCTGCCATGTTTGGTGTCTGATGTCCACAGCTCCTCTCTACTAAAACCTGTTGTTTTGATTTTCTGGACCATGTGGCTGTTGTTATCTGACCTCTAACCTCCGACCTCTAATCCATATTAAACCATTGTTTAGAGTGACTAGACCCTGTGGTTGTTGAGAGCCCTCTCCACTAAAACCTGTTGTTTAGAATCTCTAGTTCTTGTTGTATGTGTTAGACCTGACCTCTAACCTCTGCCATCTAAAACACCTAATGTACCTTTGTTTGGTTGCACAAGCCCTATTCTCACTCCCTCCTTATCTAAGATTTAACACATTTTTCATGTGTCTTTACCATGTTAATGAAACTTTAAAATGATTGTATTTAAAACTCTATAAGCCTAATGTAAAAGTATTATGTAAATATGTATCTACTTAAAGACAGCTAGGCTGAAGTGGTTATGAAATGTATGTGTTAGTATAGGCTTGTGTTAAATTCAGTTATCTGTCAGTGTGTAGCCTTTATAAAAGTTTCAGGTTAAATCCAAGTTTTGTGTGTGCAGGTTCAGGTTAAACAATATTTAATGTGCCTGCTAGTATGTCCTATTGGGTGAAGTTTTACCTTGAGTTGTGATCTATGACCTGTTGGTATCAAAATAGCTGCTCAGGTGTGCTAGTCTTTACCTGGTTTACCTGTGTCTCTCCATTGTCTCTAATATAATCACACAATTCTGTTTACTCACCTGATGACCTTTCCCTCCCTGGTGAGAGAAATCTTCACCTCATATATACCTCAATACTCTTTGGTTGAATCTCTTTACAAATTTTAAGTAACAAAGAGATCTTTTGTTTGCTTTATGTCCAAGTGTAAAGCACTTAGTAGAATGGATGTGTATTTGAAAGTAAAGATCCCTGCAGTCTGAATGGCATTCTTTAACAAAGCTGCAAATAAATACATCTCAGCCTAGCCTGTTAAAACAACACAGGTCTATAAATAGCTGCAGTTGTCTACTCTAGTTGTTTTTTTTTTTTGTTGAATGGGATTGTTGATACTTAGCCCACTTGACATTGTGACAGCAAGGTAGGGCTTTTAATGTGTTTCCTTCCTCTGTGTTCAGCTGGGCTAGATGTGTTTCCTTTCTATAAGTTGAGCTGGGCTAGATGCGTTTTTTTTTTCATTGTCTCTCACTTGTTCAACCTAGAGAATGTCTCAGTCAGGCAAGACTTGTGGTGATTGTCTTAGTTTATCTTTGTTCTAAACATGGTGATATTCTGTGATGGACTCAAATAAATTCAATCTAGATTTTTAAGTGTTTTATAGTATTTCTTATAGGATACTTAACTTAAACTCTTAACAATGTAGTTTAGTTCATAATTTTATAAAATGTTAGTGATTCTATGTATTACTCTTGTTTAGTGTAGGATCTACATACTTTAAAAAACTATTGTAAATAAAGTCTATGTTTGACTGCTGACATTGACTCTATATGAAGCTCTCTTGACTGGTGTGTGACCTTATGTTGAACTTCCTTCTGTAGCTCACACCGAGGTGGTGACAGATGATGAGGATGGCCTGCAACACTACGGGCATGATCCCAGAGAATACAAGAAGAAGCGGGGCCTGCTTCGTCTCTTTGGCAAACTCAAGCGCAGCAGCTCACAGGACTTTGAGGGGAGCAGAGAGAGGGCCCCTGATGGGGAGTTTAAGAGAGGGGGTGTTAGAGCCACAGCCTCTGCTAGACTGGCCTGGAACAGGGACATGAAAGGTCGCATGTAAGTCTTTAATACACTGTTTTATTGCATGTAAGTCTCAAATACACTGTTTTGTTGCATGTAAGTCTCAAATACACTGTTTTGTTGCATGTAAGTCTCAAATACACTGTTTTCTTACATGTAAGTCTCAAATACACTGTTTTCTTACATGTAAGTCTCAAATGCACTGTTTTCTTACATGTAAGTCTCAAATGCACTGTTTTCTTACATGTAAGTCTCAAATGCACTGTTTTCTTACATGTAAGTCTTAAATACACTGTTTTATTCTGTCATCTCAAATACATTACATTAGTCTCAAATACATTGTTTTGTTGTAATCATCTTTTTACTGTTCGTACCTAAGATATATGGGGCATATAAATTAGAGATCATCTGCTTCCAAAACCACATCACATAAAGGGATAGTGTGGTCAGTACTATGCCATCATAAAAAATTCATAAATCAGAATATTCAAATATAATTTTCCCTTCTAATTTAAAATATTTGAAATATTTTTTTGAAATTGTTTTTACAAAAATTCATAAGTGAATATTTAAATTTAACTTAAAAACATTTCTTGTGTATGCATGAAACACTTTTTGAACTTGTTGACTTTCCAGAAACTCTGAGGTCCCATTTGCTCGCTGGGACACAGATAGAGTAACAGCGTGGATGAATGACATTGGCCTGAACTTGTACTTGGTTGACTGTAAGAGATGGGTGAAGAATGGGGAGCAGCTGCTACGTTGTTCCCAGCATGATCTAGAGAAGGTAACCTACCATACACATATCTAGTGATGATACATACACACATGGCCTAGAGAAGGTAACCTACCATACACATATCTAGTGATGATACATACACACATAGCCTAGAGAAGGTAACCTACCATACACATATCTAGTGATGATACATACACACATAGCCTAGAGAAGGCAACCTACCATACACATATCTAGTGATGATACATACACACATAGCCTAGAGAAGGTAACCTACCATACACATATCTAGTGATGATACATACACACATAGCCTAGAAAAGGCAACCTACCATACACATATCTAGTGATGATACATACACACATAGCCTAGAGAAGGCAACCTACCATACACATATCTAGTGATGATACATACACACATAGCCTAGAGAAGGTAACCTACCATACACATATCTAGTGATGATACATACACACATAGCCTAGAGAAGGTAACCTGCCATACACATATCTAGTGATGATACATACACACATAGCCTAGAGTAGGTAACCTACCATACACATATCTAGTGATGATACATACACACATAGCCTAGAGAAGGTAACCTACCATACACATATCTAGTGATGATACATACACACATAGCCTAGAGAAGGTAACCTACCATACACATATCTAGTGATGATACATACACACATAGCCTAGAGAAGGTAACCTACCATACACATATCTAGTGATGATACATACACACATAGCCTAGAGAAGGTAACCTACCATACACATATCTAGTGATGATACATACACACATAGCCTAGAGAAGGTAACCTACCATACACATATCTAGTGATGATACATACACACATAGCCTAGAGAAGGTAACCTACCATACACATATCTAGTGATGATACATACACACATAGCCTAGAGAAGGTAACCTACCATACACATATCTAGTGATGATACATACACACATAGCCTAGAGAAGGTAACCTACCATACACATATCTAGTGATAATACATACACACATAGCCTAGAGTAGGTAACCTACCACATATATATTCAGTGATAAAAACACACACATAGCATAGAAAGTTATTCTAAAACATGTACAACATAATGAAAAACATGTACAACATAATCTAAAACATGTACACAACAACCATTTACACTGACAATTTCTGGTTGTAGGAGTTGGGCATGAAAAATGGCCTTCATCGCAAAAAACTTCAACTTGCCATGCAGGCCATGGCAACTGAGAACATTGACAAGTTCATGGAGCTGGATTATAACTTTGTAGCAAGTAAGTTGAAAACTTAGCTCTTTGGCATCCTGTGATGTTATAGCAAGTAGGTAACTGATGTAATAGTGTGTGTGTGATGCTTGGGCGAGTAACTTGGTAATAGAACAATTCATGTAAACTGTGGGAAATACATTGGCCCCAGTTAAAACAGTTGAAATGTAAATTATACTGTTTACCCTGACACTATTTATCCTGGACCAATGAGAGAGCAGGGTGGACTTGAGAAGATAGGTCTGTGATTTGATGATATGAGTGCTTGTTTTCTCAAGTATTTTGCTTTTGTAGGATGGCTTGATGACATTGGATTACCTCAGTACAAAGATTCCTTCTATGATGCAAGAGTTGATGGCAGAATGCTCAACTACCTCACTGTGGTAAGTTCATTTTTCTATACGCTGCATAATATTTATTACTGTAGAAACATTTTAAATGGGTCAGGGCCAAATTTAAAAAAAAAAACTTCATGCAAAATTATCCTTTAAGTTATGCTAAACCACATTATTTTTATAATTTTTGTTGGTTTTGTTTTATTTATTTATATACAGCTGCTCTTATAGCAACAATCGGTTGAGAGATGTATACCTCTTTAAGCATGTATGATCACTTGACCTCTAAACATGTACTTTTTGTTGACAGGAAGATCTGTTTGCTCTCAAAGTTTTTATTGAAGTCCATCATGTCTAAACATGTACTTTTTGTTGACAGGAAGATCTGTTTGCTCTCAAAGTTTTTAATGAAGTCCATCATGTCTAAACATGTACTTTTTGTTGACAGGAAGATCTGTTTGCTCTCAAAGTTTTTAATGAAGTCCATCATGTCTCAATTAAACGAGCCATACAAATTCTACGTCTGAACAATTTTAATCCAAACTGCTTGAGGCGCAGACCAGCACCTGATGAGGTAAGGGTGACAATAATCCTGGTGTCAGATGAAGGTGGTCAAATACAGTTGTAAAATTAGACTCTTTGTAAATAGAACATGTTGAAATTATCCAGTTGTAAAGTTAGATTTTTCAAATTGAAGTTGGTTAAACAAATGACTGTATATTTCAGCCCCATCAGATGAAGGGTATACCAGGAGAGGTTGTGCTATGGACTAACCACAGGGTGATGGAGTGGTTAAGGACAATAGATCTTTCAGAATACGCTCCAAATCTGAGGGGTAGTGGTGTACATGGTGCTCTCATGGTAAATTTTTTAACTAGATTTTATTTATCCCTAGGTTCATGGTAAATCTTTTAACTATATTATATTTATCCCTAGTTTCATGGTAAATCTTTTAACAAGATTATATTTATCCCTAGTTTTAAATGTATTTTAACAATCTGTTACTGATTCAAAATTTTAATGAAAGTGAAGAAGTCATGCATTATAGAATACTCATCTGAACACACAAATTAAGTAGGTGATTTAATAATATTAAACGTGTTGAAATTCACAGACGCTGCTATTTATTTTCTTATATCCAGTACTTTTACAGATTTTTCTTTAAGCATCTATTTGGCAGCCACTTATCTGCTACCTACTAAAATAGTTGTTTAAACCCTACCAAAACAGTTGTTTAAACCCTACTAAAACAGTTGTTAAAACCCTACTAAAACAGTTGTTAAAACCCTACCAAAACCGTTGTTAAAACCCTACTAAAACAGTTGTTAAAACCCTACTAAAACAGTTGTTTAAATTATACCCTTCTAAAACAGTTGTTAAAACTACTGCCCAGAAAAAGTTAAGTTTGCCATTACAACATTGCTGTTGCCATGACTTTCAGGTTCTTGAGCCGAGGTTTAATTCTGAGTTGTTTGCCGTCCTGTTGTCTATACCACCCAGCAAGACTTTGTTGCGGCGCCACCTCAACACACACTTCATCAGTTTGATTGGTCCTGAAACTCAGACTCGCAAACGTGAACATGAATCTCAACCTGGTTATGTCCCTCTTCAGCCTAATAACAAGGTCAAGGTAAGAAGTACTTTATGTTGTTTCCAATCACTGGGACTGGAGAATATTCTAAGGCTATTTATATCTCAAGTTGTGTTCAGATTTTGACATGAAAGCAATTGAAAAAGTTCAGCTAGTATTTGCTTTAACAAAACACTACTAAAACTAACAAAATATTTTTAAAACTATTAAATTTAAATAGTTCAATCGTTAAGTTGTGAATGTCACCAATAGAATAAAACAATTCTGTAGGACCAGGCTATAATAAGTTTTAACAATGTTTTGATACAATGCCTTGCAAAAATGTAACTTTAGTTAAACGTGTTTTATGGCTTAAATTAATTGTGTTTTAATTAACCACCAAAATGTCCTGTGTTTCAGAAGGGCAAGTTTGCTTTATTTAGCCACAAAAGAACAAAGTCTGAAACAGAAGCTGATGGTTTCATTTGTCCACTAGAGCTCAATGGCCAGTATTCTAATGGCAAGGTAAGTTGTGTGTGCAGGCTTTACCAATACCTCTGCTACAGGTTGGTGCCTGTTACAAGTGTTTGGATTTTTTTAGAAACACTGAAATCCCAAACAAATTGGTAACAAGAATACTGGAATAATTAAAAAGATAGTTTAAATTGTAGAGTTTATTTGCATAATTGAATATTTAACATATTTGCAAATAATAGTTGGAGTCATGAAAAAGAACATTTATGCAAATTTCAATTTTTACCAAGGGCTATACCATTTACTTGGGTTTACCTTCTGCATTGTAATAATGTTATGCACTCAACATCACCTCACCCTTATAAATAAATATTTTTTTTTCACTTATAATTATACTGCTTCATTCATTAAATAATGTTCAGCACCCTTACTAAAAGAAGAAAATACATATAGGATGAAGACATATCTAAACTAAATAAGAAAATACCAATTTAATTTTTTATAGGAGACTTGATTTATTTTTATGTGCTTCATGCTTTTCACTTGGCCACAAACTTGATCAATGTGATTCTAAGAGTCTTTATAAGTTGATCTATCAGATTTTATTGAAAACACAATACGTAATGTATCATTTTTATTGCCATGCTAAAAGCAATTTATAACCAAATATATTTTGTTATTTTTGAAATTCTGATGTTTTCTTTAATTTTAAAACAATTTTCATTGAGCTATTATTAGAGGTGAGATAATATATTTTAAATATGTTAGTGAGACCTTGAATTAATAAGTTGAATTTGACTATTTGAAATTGCCATTGAACAGAGAGATGAAAAAGCTGCAAAAGAGATTGGTGCCTATTCCCAGGAGATCAATTCACTCACAGTAAGTCTCCTTGACTAGTCAAACAGATGATGATGGCTTTTTATAAAGGTTTTCATGGCTTTCATATTTGTTTTAGTTTAACTCATTCTTCATACAACAATTTTTTTATTTTAAATGTTAAAAATGTTTTACATATAAAACCTATTGTATAGTAAACTATTTCATGTATTGTTGTGTTGCATTGTTCTGTAAAGTAATATCAAGAAATGTTTTTTGTTCACAGAACATGTTATCACATGAAAGATTTCTTGATTCTGCTAAAACTTCAAACGTTTAAAAGTGACATAGAAATATTAGATTAAGAAATGAAAAAAATTTTCTACTGGTGAAGAAAAAAACATTGCATTTACTGGATAATCCTTGGATTACATTGAGCTACATCTATCAAGGCCAGGATTGTTTTTTTAATGTTTCTACTGTGTACATAGGAGGCAAGCCTCATCAGGCCCTCGTGTGGAGATTCACCAGTTATACACACATTTGCTGTAATATTTGCTGAGGACTACTGAACTGATTGATGTGAGATTTTTACACCAACATAATCAACTACTGGTACTTTTTTTTATTATTGTACAATTTCTACATTTTTGCTCCATGATATGGCTGGAATAGATTCCAAATGCTGGTAAGGAAGAGAATTTTGGGAAATATTTTACCAGGTAACTTAATAATTTTTTTTATTGATTTCTTTTTATGTGTGTACCCTGTGTCATCAGTTTATAATGTGTGTAGAGTGAAAAATTACTTTTATAAAAGCAATGTGACCATCTGTCCTGTAACTTATCATTGTTTCATGAAAATGAAGTTAACTAGATCTAAAGTCAAAGGAAGAAAGAAAATATCTGTCAGTTATTATGGAATCCATAATATAATGTACAGATAAATCATATGGATACATAGCTTTAAATAATTACAAACCAATTTGTGCCTAGCATAATTTTTTACTGTGGTAAAATGCTGCTTTTGTCACATTTTTCACAGTCTGGACTTCCTGTGTTGTGAATAAAGGGATGTCACTCTAAAATGTGTTCATCTATAAATAGATATTTCCACACATTGTTTTTATAATAAATGATGCTATGTATTAAAATAACTTAAAACAAATATTGGTTGTGAGAATAAAATGTCCTACCTTGATGTTAAAAGGTAAGCACATTTTAAACAATACTTTATTATACAAGGTTATGATATCAGTTCATCTACTCTTAAGATAAAAATTGTTGAACAAATATAAATCAATGAAGCCTTTATTGCCCAAATACTGCAGCTGATCTGTTACTCAACTATGTTGTTATCTATAAAAGGTAATTAAGTCAGTCTCATACAATGGGAGATGAATGTTCTTTTGTTATCAAGCTATCCCAGGGAATTGATTTACTTCCTCCTGACTAATATGTGACATTGTGTTCAATGTAGAGCAGAAATTTGGGACCATATATATACAGGAATTGTATTAAAGATGTATAGCTTAACTAGACAAAGAAATCAGCATTTCTTCTCTAGCTTTATATTTTGCCAAGAGTTATCCTGAGGTTAGGTAGTTAATAACACAAATGAAGTAAAGGTTTGAACTGATACCCTCAATCAATTAACTAATTTTTTTTTAAATAATTGAAACTAGATTTATGTGTGTAAAAAAATTTTTTAATTTAGTACAAAAACATAGATAATATTAGTGTAATTAATATATTTTTTAAAAATAAGTGACATTGGCAAAGTGTTTTTTGTCTTGAAAATTTCATGCTCTGATGTATGTCATTGAATAATGCATTACGAAAGGTTAATTGTTCTGAACCTGGTGTAGTGATAAAAGACTGATCTATATGTAAACAATGATTGTATCATTTATTGGGTTGAAGGGATCAAGCCAACAGCTTATACAACTGATAACCATAATCACTGTACTGGATAGATGTCCAAGGCACTTAAGTACCTAGCATAGTTTTTTTTTATACTCACAAATGTTATCTTACATAGCACTAGTAGATTATTGTTTACATTTTGTAGTTGTGTTTATCTGTTTACCTGAATGTCTGTTGTTTAAATTCTCTCTCAGCCAGTAAGATGTGATATCTTTTTTAAAGATATATCTCCATCAAAATATTTTGCTCTATAAATAAAATTAAAATATTTATATATATATATACATTGTTAAAAATTAATGAATAAATAAAACCAAATAATGACGTCTTCCATATTGATGTTTCTGCGGTAACAACTATTTTCCCATTTCTTGTTTTGGTTTTAAAATGTGATGTCAAGCAAATCTGGTCTTCTCAACAAACCAGTGAGTTTTGTGCCAACTCTAGTAGGATTTTACCAGCAGTTTCTTGTTTCCTCTAGCATTAAACTTGTACATGTAAGGATCTGGTATCTAACTTAAGTTAACTGTAATGCTCTTAATGGCATGTTTTTTTTTGTCCATTCTCTTGTAAGTTAAATTTTGATATGTGGAATATTATATAAATTATATAGTTACACAAACAACTTTTGTGTTTTACAGGAAAAAATGTTAGTTTTATACAATAAGGATACATACTTTTTAAAATTGGGTACAAATAGTACAATTGTTTTTTATTTATAAAACCTTATCTTTTTAACTACTTACGCTTTTTTTTAATCATATGTCTGTTTAGTTTTCTTTCAATAAATTTAAGTCTGTTCCATGTGATATAAAATGAGTGAAGTAAAATGCTAACGATTGATGTTGTCAAAACTTTAATGATGGATGAAAAAAATGATAACAATAGATGAGATAAAACTCATGATGGATGGGATGTAGAGGATATATACGTGTGACAGCTTGCTACTCTATGGGGTAATGTTTCTTGTACTTTGTTTTTATCATACTTAAATATATCTATTTTTCTACAGCAACTCCCAGCTTTTAATCTAAGCCAGTATGAGCTTCTTTTTACCATGTTCATTTCAGTGTGTGTGTATGAAGAAAAATTCAATGATTGTTGTGCTGAAGTAAGCTTGATGTACATAATGTAATAAAAAGTCTGATTAATATTTAGTTATTTAAATATTCTATACAAATAAATGATTATGTAGAGAATTCTGTGTTCGGGTTTCTTCAATAATCTCACTCTGTTGTCTGTTTTATATTTCTTATGGTCAAGTAGACAGAAATTTTATTTTAAGTTAATGAGCTCAAATGAACAATGCTCATCTCTATAGTACCTGACTTGCTAATGCTGCAATCGCTGATAACTTTTAATGTTGTCTTTTTTTTTTGAGCTATAAATTAATTATTTTTATTTGCTGGAAATTTGATTTGATTGGAAAATTCCAAACATTCATCCCTTGAATACTGTAGTGAGCAATACATGTTTACTTACAAGATATTCACAGCTCAAATAAAATGCATATGGTATACATTTTTCCTTGAATGAAAATAGCAATTTATATTTTTTTAAAGATAAGATAACACAACAGTTGATAAAAATACAAGTGTATGACTGACCTATACAATGTCAGATTAGTGGATGTCAATGTCAGAACAATGTTTCTGATTTTATGTTTACTAGCACTAAATTGTGCAGGTAAGTTTAGATTCTCAAGTCATTCACAGAGAAATTTTATAACAGGAGATTCGTTTTTCAAAGAAAACATTTTTGTCTACTTTTCTAAACGCCTGGTGTTAAAGCTGTTTTAATTTTTTTCATCAGCCAACAGTAATGTCCAAGAGGTGTTGGCTTATAAACTTAGATCATTTATCAAAACTGTACATTTGTATGAGCTTCATCAATGGGCTATGTGGGACAGTATGGCCGAAAGGCTGCTAGCCCGAAGGTCTCAAGTTCGGATCTCATTTCAGACCTTTAACTGTAGGAAGTCGCTGAGTCCACCCAGCTCTGATGGGTACCTGACTTACTTTGTGGAAAAGTAAAATAGTGCTGACCACACGATCCCATCTTATGCTGAGTTCAAGAAACATGGACTCATTATCATCTCCCCATTGGATCATGTGGTCTAAAGACAATTCTTTCCTTTTTAATATATGCAACTGTATATCCATCAAAAGTGGATTACACTACAGCATCTTAAAACATACATTTGTGTGGTCTCTTACCACACTACACAGTCCCCAGATACTGAAAATCACCTACTAGAAACTTTGGCACAAATAATAATAATACCACATTACACTAGAATGTCATTGCATACATTATACACAAACACCTAAATACACACAATAACTGCCTCAAACCATTATGAATGTGTTGTAACATGACACAGCTGATTACACTCCTTCAGCCCATGGCACCCAGAGCAAGTTTTATGTTGACATTGATAACAAAACCAGCTCCTTCAGGCTTCTGGTGGACAGCAAGCCTTGGCTAGTCAGTGGCAACACTTTCTTTAGTCATGACGGCCATCAGTACTCAACAGCTGACCAAACCCTCAAGGTGTGTATAAGCTTATGCTTTTATCAATTTAAACATTGCATTGGTTTTTACTTAAAATCATTTTATCCATCATTAAAGAGGATAACTTATAGTTAATGTTTTTTACCCCATTTTTAGTCAATGGGAGATAATTCATACATATTTGATCAGTCATAGAAAGATAACTCTTGTATTGTTTTGTAAGCTGCTAATAGTAGCATCAGAGACTGGCGAGGATCAAGTTGGCAGATGGCATAAAACAGCCTTTGACTACCAGGGTGGCACGTTATCAGTCAAGACGTCAATCAAAACATATGACACGCCTCAACTACCACTTGCTATTTTCTCACAGGTGAAAAAAATGAACAGATCAATAAGTGAATAAATTAGAAGTGTCACTAAATCACTAAAGTGAATAAATTATTAATCAACAGTTGAATAATTTATAAGTATAAATAAGTATAACTGTCATGTAATTGATAAGTATGTAAATTACAACACCTTACAATGGGAGTAAATTAATAACTAGCCACAACAATTTTCTAAAAGAAAATTATTTTTGGAATTATAATTTTTTGAAGGCCTAAGTCTAAATTATTAAGTAGATCTAGAAGATCTAGTCATAATTGTTTAACAAGTATACTACAAAAAGTATAGTATTGTAACCTGTTTTAAAACATTTACTGGTCACCTTGTTTTAAATTTCTCACATATTGAATTACCATTAAAGTTGGAGATGGATGCTATAGATTGCACTGTAAATAATGTAATGCTTTATAGCGTCCACTTTTTACAACTAATCTGAAAAGAAAATAGTTATGAGGCTCCCTTACAATATATATATATATATATATATATATATATATATATATATATATATATATATATATATATATATATATATATATATATATATATATATATATATATATATATATATATAATTCTAAGACTTACATTGGTCCTGCGACCAACACATCAAGCCATGATGTCAACAGTGTCATTAGCAGTTTTCCCAGCTTTAGAACCTTGCCATCAGAGAACCTTGGTTACCTGAGCTATGCTGGAGATATGGTTGGCTACAAAAAGCTCAGTATAGGCAGGTGATTACAACTTTTTAAACTCAGTACTATCTTATTTAGAATATTTGTAGTTCATTATCAATTCTACTACTACAGATTTAAAATATTGATTTAATTTTTTTTTATTCAACTGCAGGACTATAAAATAGATTATAGAACAAGTGATTAGAATACTTGTTATTTGATTAAATTAAATGTTATTTACTTAAGCTTACTATTTGGATAACTAGTAATACTAGACCTAGTGCCTGCAGTAGTATTTACATCATTTAAAAATATTTAAAAATTTGTCAGTAAACAGGTATGTACACTTGTCAGTAAACAGGTATGTACACTTGTCAGTAAACAGGTATGTACACTTGTCAATGAACAGGTATGTACACTTGTCAGTAAACAGGTATGTACACTTGTTAGTGAACAGGTATGTACACTTGTCAGTGAACATGTATGTACACTTGTCAGTAGACAGGTATGTACACTTGTCAGTAAACAGGTATGTACACTTGTCAGTAAACAGGTATGTACACTTGTCAATGAACAGGTATGTACACTTGTCAGTAAACAGGTATGTACACTTGTCAGTAAACAGGTATGTACACTTGTCAATGAACAGGTATGTACACTTGTCAGTGAACATGTATGTACACTTGTCAATGAACAGGTATGTACACTTGTTAGTGAACAGGTATGTACACTTGTTAGTGAACATGTATGTACACTTGTTAGTGAACAGGTATGTAAAGAAAACATAAAATAAAAAATATAATAAAAAATACATAAGTGGCCATGATCAGCAGTACAACTAGCTTGTAATTTGTGTCTTTCTTTACCTTCAGGACTGGCTTAGCAGAGAGACAGAGCTAAACCAAATTCTTCTCACTGATCTAGAGCTTGGGCGGCGTTGGCTTGTGGGTATGGGGAGGGGAGCTTCAGCCTACAAAAACATTGAGATACAATACTGCACAGCAACAAGTCAACACATTCTGCAGTCATTGGAGATTAGCACTGTCACACAGGTAGTAGCACTGACATACAGCTAGTAGCACTGTCATACAGGTAGTGGCACTGCCATGCAGGTTGTGGCACTGTCATCCAGGATATTGTATAGGCACTGTGACACAGGTGACAGCTTGGCACAATCTCTAAGACTTCATTCTTTTAGTTATTCCATGCAATTCTTGAATGACAATTAATTTTGTTGTTGCCCTTACTAGTATATGAGTGAATAGGGTTGAAAATTTGGTCTTATATAAACAAGTATATTTATTATTAACAATTTGTAATGGCAAAACTTACCTTGTCATAATTATTTAATTTTAAAAGGATGTGTAGTTTTGAAAGTTCCTTTTTTAAATTTTGCAAGAGTTTCTGTGTAAGAGACATTATTGTGGGGGACACCACTCTAGATTGCTTTGTGATTTCTGCTTTTTTTTAAGGCACGGGTCAGTAGAGATTACTCTCCAGGAGGTAAACAATGGGACATTGGCATCACCTCCATGTTTGCTGATGCTGTTGGTCTGGCACCTTTCAAGGACACGTTCTGGACAACAGAAATTCAACCTGGTAGTCCTTACAAAGGTGAGTTGTTGGGTGGGACAATGGTCATGTGCTGAAAATGTATCTTGTGATGTTAAATATAGTTTAATGGGACAATGGTCAAATTCTCTTGTGCTAAAATGTATCACACAATGTTAAAATTGATATTTTGATAAATACACTTTATACCCCTCCTCTTAAACTGTTTTTATTTTCATAACACCACAAGACAAAACTGAAAAGCAGACAATGTTGAATAGTCTTATAGCCACTCTTAGCACTGGGCCAGTTGCTATTGGAGATGGTATTGGCTTGGTAAATAAAACTCTACTGATGAGGTATGTTGTTATAAAAAGTGTCTATTTTAATTTTCTCTTTACCATTTTGGTATCTTTGAAACAAATTTGGTAATTTGTTTATTATGCTTATTTTTCCGACACATATTGTTTAAATAATGAAGGATTAGCGAACACAGGAAGCTTTGCATCATCTAAGATAAAAAACTTTAACTTCAGGTGTTGTGATTCTAGTGGCAAAATTTTACAGCCAAGCAAGCCATTAACAGCAGTTGATGATCAAATTAAAAAGGCATGAGAATTATTTTAACAGTACAAATATTTATTTTTCAATAATTTAAATTTGTACTTACTTTCCTCTTACCACTTTTGTTTATAGCTGATTTATTTTTTTACTTTTTCCACAGAGTGCCTTCCCTTCCTATCCTGGTCCAGAAGGAGAGGTCTATACAACATATAGCAATATTTCTGGTTTCCTGTTTGGTATAGTCCTGGCTGCGGAGATGATCAACCAGTACTCACTCACACCATCTAACGGCTGGACTTTAGCACAGGTTGAAAATGGTTTTTTAAAAAAAAAATGTTGCTATCAACTTCTTTACTGCAGTATCATCTTGTAATGCTTAAGTTTAATGTAATTTTTTTTTGTTTTTCAGCTACCACAGAATGTTATCTATTCAGGCACCAGCCCAACCCCAGCTCCGCAAACATTTTCTGATGACAACCCTCTAAAGTTAGGTCCTGAATGTTCGGCTGTGAATTTCTGCCTGTACTACACTTCCCCAGTTCTACAGCTTTCTTCAAGGTCCTTAACTCATTTCAATTATGATTAACCTGTGTTTTTTAAATAAACTTTATTGAAATTCTTTAAAATGATCATTTTACAAATAATTTTTTTTTTAAATAAGTAATATTCTGCATCATTTTTTGTTTACATCAGTTCAAAGGTCATCCTGTTGGGTGAAGAAAACAAGTGGGTTCCGCTGTCCAGCAAAAGATTTTTAGGGATAAATCAAAGCAGCGAGGACATCATAGTCAGTGTGTATGTAAACCCAGAGGAAACTGTGTACTTCAGGTACCTGCAGGACAGTGGGCCCGTCCTGACTGTTGTTTGTGACAACAGCAAAAGTTCCACACCAGCAACACACAGCTTTATAAGTCTGGCTGAGAAAAAATGTTACCTTCAATAGTTGCTTTAATACAAACACACACAGCTTTATAAATCTTGCTGAGAAAAAATGTTACCTTCAATAGTTGCTTCAATACAAACACACACAGCTTTATAAGTCTTGCTGAGAAAAAATGTTACCTTCAATAGTTGCTTCAATACAAACACACACAGCTTTATAAGTCTTGTTGAGAAAAAATGTTACCTTCAATAGTGGCTTCAATACAAACACACACAGCTTTATAAGTCTTGTTGAGAAAAAATGTTACCTTCAATAGTTGCTTCAATACAGCCTTCATTCTTTATTTAGTAAAACTTTTACAAAATTTAACAATGTGCCTTTGATTTTGTGTTTTTCTTAAACATTATGCAGTATTAAAAGAAATTATTTTAAAATTTGTTTATATTTTGATTTATATAACTGTTTTAAAATACAAGCTGTTTTCATTGCTAAAGAAAATAAAAGGGAAAAAAATAATGATGCATTTAACATTTATATTTACTAGCTTAAAAAAGCATTTTTTTTTAAGAGGTCAACAATTAAAGTTCTTTGACTAAAAATTTGACTGGGGCTTAAATAGTGAGTGATATAATCAATGTTTATCACCAATCTTATAAAATTCTTTATCTTGAAATAACTTTGACTAATTATGGAGATTGTTAACAAGAGATTAATTTATTTAATCTGTCATGTAACCACTTGTTTTACAGATTTGACGAGGAAAAAAATTATAATAGGCCTAATTATTAAAATATTTTTTTAAAAATTCAATTAATTTTTTTAAAATCTTTTAAATTTAATTAAACTTTTACAATTGGGCAAAGTTAAAAATATAATTATTTTTAATTAACTGACTCGATGCAACTAGTAAATGAGTGCTGTTATTTCCTAACTTTTCAGCAATATTCTTTGGCCTTTATATTGTTATCTACTACCAAAGAAAGTTATTATCTCTAATAACTTTTTTTACAGTAGACCTATTATAGCACAAAGTTTAAGTATTGATAATATTTAAGAATAGAGATTGCAGGTACTTAAAGTAATCTATAGATAAATAGTCATATGATATATCTGAAACCTAGAGACATTTATCTACTATCTACATTTTGTTAGTAGAAACTGAGACATCAGTTTTTTAGTTGATCCCAGAGTAACGGAAATATGTTTCTGTCAGTCCTTCTTTCTGTGGCACTATTCAGTACTTTTATAGCTGTCAGTAAGTAAAAAAATCTTTTAAATCTTATTTCTTCTTAAGTTTATTAATTATAATTATACAGATTATTCTAATTAAGACAATTGGAAAAAATCTTCACCTAATATCAGACAACAAAAAGAATTCTTGTTTCCCCTTTCAGCGAGCCAACAACTTGTTATTGATGTCATCACAAATGGAACCTACCGCGTGCGAGTCAATGGCGTTGCATGGCTAACTAGTGGTGCCACCTTTTTTAACAATGACCAAAAACAGTTTACCAATGCCGACAATTCATTAAAGGTTTTGATTTATCTTTCTCTATTGCTAGATTTTTGTAGCTCACTATAGTCTCATAAGGTTACAATATTAGATTTTAAACATCAAAATAATTTTTTTTAAATCAAGATTCAATGCTTCAGGCAACTTTAACCAGAATTATTATGTTGTTGTTTGTTTGTAGCTAATGAAAAAATCATTATTTAATCACCACAATTAATAATTTAATTATTTACCTCTCAGCTAATGAGCACAACAGCGACATCAGGCTATGACCGGCTCGGACTTTGGCAGAACACAAATTTTATTTACCAGGCTGGGACCCTGTCAGTGACAGCTTCCATCAAGATTTACACTGTCCCAGACCTTCCTTTCATTATATTCTCACAGGTGGGTTCAGTCCCCTTACAGGTGGGTTCAGTCCCCTTACAGGTGGGTTCAGTCCCCTTACAGGTGGGTTCAGTCCCCTTACAGGTGGGTTCAGTCCTCTTGCTCTACAAATATGAAATACACAGCACTATACTCAACTGTGGAAAACTAAGTTGGTTAAGACAGATTTGTCCTGCTATATTAGTTGGTTAAGATGTCTTTATATCACATAGACTTATGAACTTTTGTTTTTTGGTGTTTTAGATAACTTTATGTTTAACAGTTTTCACATATGATTAATGTTAATCCTGAACATTAATATTAATTACTTTTTCAATGCTCACTGTTCATGAGTTCTTAAGTTCTTATAAAGTAAGTAAACCGTGACTTAGGCAGATAAAGTAGAGTTTATGGAGCTACAATGGCCAGATGCCTTACCTTCAATACACTGAACTAGTGGGTTTGGGTGCACTCTAGAATGTTTTTATTGTGCTCTACCATCTGACCATGCCATCCTATATAGTGACACCATGTTTATTTCAATTTATTATACAAAAGAGAATATGACCTGTTTTATAGAAAAGAGAATATGACCTGTTGTATAAAAAAGAGAATATGACCTGTTAAATAAAAAAGAGAATATGACCTGTTAAATAAAAAAGAGAATATGCCAAATTGTATACAAAAGAGAATATGACCTTTTTTTTTTTTTTAAAGAATATGACCTATTGTATACAAAAGAGAATATGACCTGTTGTATACCAAAGAGAATATGACCTGTTGTATACCAAAGAGAATATGACCTGTTGTATACAAAAGAGAATATGACCTGTTGTATAAAAAAGAGAATATGACCTGTTGTATAAAAAAGAGAATATGACCTGCTGTATACCAAAGAGAATATGACCTGTTGTATACCAAAGAGAATATGACCTGTTGTATACCAAAGAGAATATGACCTGTTGTATACAAAAGAGAATATGACCTGTTGTATAAAAAAGAGAATATGACCTGTTGTATAAAAAAGAGAATATGACCTGCTGTATACCAAAGAGAATATGACCTGTTGTATACCAAAGAGAATATGACCTGTTGTATACCAAAGAGAATATGACCTGTTGTATACCAAAGAGAATATGACCTGTTGTATACAAAAGAGAATATGACCTGTTGTATAAAAAAGAGAACATGACCTGTTGTATACAAAAGATAATATGACTTATTGTATAAAAAAGAGAATATGACCTGTTGTATACAAAAGAGAATATGACCTGTTGTATAAAAAAGAGAACATGACCTGTTGTATACAAAAGTTGCCCTTACAGACACTGAAACCTGCCATATCAGGATAGTATTCAGTGATGTTGTGCCACAACTCTTGGTATATAATTATAGTAAAGTTAGATTTGTTTCGTCATTTTAGACTTATCAAAACACAGCAACAAAAACATCAGCCCCAGACTCCAAGCATGTCATCAGTGGATTCCCGACATTTAGAACAACCTCAGATGCTGATCTTGGCTATGTGGCCTATGGTGGAGACATGGCTGGATACAGCAAGCTCAGTGTTGGAAGGTTCACATGTCTTATACAGCTTTCACTCATGAAAGATTGAAGAAATAAAAGCCTTTAAATTCATAATTAGTTTAAATGTTAAAATTTAAATTTTTATTACTTTATACATTTTTTGTTATCTAAACATCTTTATGACAAAACACTTAAGAATTAATATTTTGTTTAAAATCTTTTGTTTAAAAAAAAAGAATAAATGTTGTTTTATTATAAAGTGCTAGAATAGTTTGACAGTGCATATGTAAAAAGATATTTAAAAATTCACTATGTTTGTAAATATTGTATAGCCCTGTTCATAAATGCATTGTCAGAATAGTTAGTTTTATTATGTATTATTATTTAGCATTTTTTACACATTGACCTATTTTGTTATTGATTCTAGTATATCTATTTGTTGTTTGTTATACATAGACCCACTCTATTTAAGCACAGAAACCAATTAATACTTGTGTTCATGTTACAGATATAACCCGTTAGCTTCAATAACTACAGGAATTGAAGGGGGACCACTGGTACTGTTCGACAACTCAAGTAATGCATTGGTTGTGTCCCCTATGAGTCAGTTTATGGCAGCATCTAACCAAATCTCACTGGTCAGGCAGGAGTTGTCCTATGGAATTATGGGACTTGTTGACAGCGTCCCTAGCAACTACAGCATAGATTTTATTGTGTATTACAGCAACCAAGGGATAAACCAGGTCAACGTGTTCATTAAATAAACATTTAATTAGGGCAGAAGTAAGCATCTTACAAACTTGTTCTCAACAAACTTTGTTTTCTGTGTCTTGCAGGCTATGAAAGGATGGGGAGAACTTCTGAAGTTCTGGTACAACAAAAATCTGGAACACAGGGCATATGGTATTACACTGAATTACATGGGGTATTGGACAGATAATGGTGAGCGCTGGGCTTAGCCGTTGTTAAATAAAAATTATTATATTTAACCTGTGGGCCGTGCATTTATTTTTTACTAATTTAAAAAATGTTTAAACCCTTAAGGTGCCTACTACTACTACCACACTGAAGAAGGCAAAAACTATGAGAAGACAATGCTAGATGCAGTCAACTACATCAACGCTCAGAAAATACCATTCAAGTATTTAATTTTATACTGTTAAAACTGTTCTGCTTATCTTGTGTTTTTTTTTTACATTTAATTTGTTCTATCCCAATGTTTTTTTTTTCCTTAAAAGTTGTGTAAAATAAATTAAAATTAAATTATTATTATTTTACTTGTGGTTTTCTGCATGTTCACAGAATATTTTTGTTCACGTTGTTTTGACCTATCTACCTACAGGTACACTCAGTATGATTCCTGGTGGTATGCTAAAGGTAAAACATCAGGCGTGCTCACCTGGACACCCACACCTGAGACTATACCTGATGGCTTCAAGTGAGTAAATAATGGGTTCCAATATTCCACATTCCAGAGTTAAGCCATTGTTTATTAAATTGTAGAAATCTTTGGGTAGTTAGTAAATCATTACATTAGAAAGCACTGCAAAAATAACTGCATAGAAACCAATTATTTTAAGCCTTAACAATTGAATCAATAGAATTACATTAGCCTAAATATGTGTATTACATTATACATTTGTATCTGAATACTACATACTTTACTATGTAGGTCTAAAACAATATGATTTTTTTGTTTTGGACTTTTATTTCAGATATTTATCTGACCAGACCAAGTTGCCATTTACTTGCCATAATCGCTTTTGGTAAGTTGCCATTTTCCAATCATGCAACACATTTAATCTTTGAAAGATTAATAAACCAGATGGCTGCCATATAACTTGTGTGTTTTTGTTTTATTTAAAGGGACAGCGCCACCCCCTATGCCAGGTACAACGGAGGCAGGTACAACTTTATACCAGACCATAGTTCAGGACTGGCTGTACCTGATGATGATGTAAGTTGGTTTATTTTTGGCCCAATGTTATTTTTCAGTATTTTGCCTGTAAAAGGCTTTTTTTCCCCATCAGTTTTGATTGTTCTCTAAATAATATTTACTAATCTTAAAATTATAAGTAAATAATTGTTGTAAAATTGTTGTACTACAGTTTAAATTAAGGCCTACATAATTTTGTGCGGAAAAATCAAAGCTAGATTTAATTTTCTATTTTTATGTAAAAAAAAACAGACAAAAAGCCATTATATAGCTATTTTTGTCAGCAAACTTGTCAAGTTAAAAAGTTTTGGCTTTGTTTTTCCTTGCTTATCACAGGTGTTTTAAAATTCTACTAAGGTTTTTTTTTTCCCCATAAAATACATGCACAATGTAAATTTTAAAAATTTTCAACTTTATTTTCAGCAATTTTGGTTGGATCTGTTTAATATGACCCAGCAGTGGGGACCATTTATTATGTATGAGCAGGTAGGTGGCCATGTCACATTTATTATGTATGAGCAGGTAGGTGATAATGTCACATTTATTATGTACGAGCAGGTAGGTGACAATGTTACATTCATTATGTATGAGCAGGTAGGTGGCAATGTCACATTCATTATGTATGAGCAGGTAGGTGACAATGTCACATTCATTATGTATGAGCAGGTAGGTGACAATGTCACATTCATTATGTACGAGCAGGTAGGTGGCAATGTCACATTTATTATGTACGATCAGGTAGGTGACCATGGTACATTCATTATGTATGAGCAGGTAGGTGACTAGAAAGTCTCACTATTATTGGCTCTCCTTTTTTTGAAAATTTACTTTATGTTTAACTTGTTTTATTTGTTAAAATTTATAATTTTGTTTTTCCTGGCACTGACAGGATTGGCTGGACAAAGAAACTGACGAAAACAAAATTCTGCAGTCCGACCTGTTTGTGGGGCGCAGATGGTTGGTTGGGATGGGGAAAGGCGCTGAAGCTTACAAGACTATAGGGATCCAATACTGCATGTCATACAGCAGGCACATTCTGCAGTCTCTGGAGATACCTACTGTAACACAGGTCAGTGGTGACCTTGACCACACAGGTCAGTGGAGGTCTTGACCTACTGTAACACAGGTCAGTGGAGGTCTTGACCACACAGGTCAGTGGAGGTCTTGACCTACTGTAACACAGGTCAGTGAAGGTCTTGACCACACAGGTCAGTAGAGGTTTGACCACACAGGTCAGTGGAGGTCTTGACCTACTGTAACACAGGTCAGTAGAGGTCTTGACCACACAGGTCAGTGGAGGTCTTGACCTACTGTAACACAGGTCAGTGGTGACCTTGACCACACAGGTCAGTGGAGGTCTTGACCTACTGTAACACAGGTCAGTGGAGATCTTGACCTACTGTAACACAGGTCAGTGGAGATCTTGACCTACTGTAACACAGGTCAGTGGAGATCTTGACCTACTGTAACACACGTCAGAGGAGGTCTTGACCACACAGGTCAGTGGAGGTCTTGACCACACAGGTCAGTGGTGACCTTGACCTACTGTAACACAGCTCAATGGAGGTCTTGACCTACAGTAACACAGGTCATTGGAGGTCTTGACCACACAGGTCAGTGGAGGTCTTGACCACACAGGTCAGTGGAGGTCTTGACCACACAGGTCAGTGGTGACCTTGACCTCTGTAACACAGGTCAGTGGTGACCTTGACCTACTGTAACACAGGTCATTGGAGGTCTTGACCACACAGGTCACTTGAGACCTTGAGCCGTTATTACATGGACCCTGAACAAATGTCCAATCATATTTTTTTTAAATGTCCACATCACCATCACAATGTCCCTCTATTGTCCACCCTAGGCCCGAGTCAGTGGTGACTACCAACCAGGGGGCAGACAGTGGGACATCGGCATCTCCTCCATGTTTGCTGATGCTGTGGGCGTGGCACCATTCAAGGACACGTTCTGGACAACAGAAGTCCAGGCAGGAAGTCCTTATGGAGGTTGGTCATTGTGTTCAAATATTTGTTATTGAGGTTGGTCATTGTGTTCAAATATTTGTTATGGAGATTGGTCATTGTGTTCAAATATTTTTTATTGAGGTTGGTGATTGTGTACTGTGTTATCTGTATACTAAACTGAACTTTCAACTGTTTTTGTGTAAATGATGATTAGTGTGTTTGTAAACATTAATATTAGCTTCACTTGTTCCTTTAAAATGTTATGTTACATATTTTGTTCCTTTAAAATGTTATGTTACAGATTTTGTTCCTTTAAAATGTTATGTTACACGTCATTGTGTTCCTACTTTTCACACTTGTCTGTGCAGTAAAAACAGAGAAACACACAGGACTCAACAGTGTGATATCAACACTCAGCACTGGCCCAGTGGGACCTGGTGACGGCATTGGTTTTATCAACACTACACTACTTATGAGGTTTATTTTTTATCAACATTACATCAACACTACACTACTCATGAGGTTTATTTTTTATCAACATTATATCAACATTACATCAACACAACACTACTCATGAGTTTTATTTTATCAACATTACATCAACACTACACTACTCATGAGGTTTATTTTATCAACATTATATCAACATTACATCAACATTACATCAACACCACACTACTCATGAGTTTTATTTTATCAACATTACATCAACACTACACTACTCATGAGGTTTATTTTATCAACATTACATCAACACTACATCAACACTACACTACTCATGAGGTTTATTTTATCAACATTACATCAACACTACATCAACACTACACTACTCATGAGGTTTATTTTATCAACATTACATCAACACTACACTACTTATGAGGTTTCTTTTATCAACATTACATCAACATTACATCAACATTACATCAACACCACACTACTCATGAGTTTTATTTTATCAACATTACATCAACACCACACTACTCATGAGTTTTATTTCATCAACATTACATCAACACTACACTACTCATGAGGTTTATTTTATCAACATTACATCAACACTACACTACTTATGAGGTTTATTTTATCAACATTACATCAACATTACATCAACACCACACTACTCATGAGTTTTATTTTATCAACATTACATCAACACTACACTACTCATGAGGTTTATTTTATCAACATTACATCAACACTACATCAACACTACACTACTCATGAGGTTTATTTTATCAACATTACATCAACACTACACTACTCATGAGGTTTATTTTATCAACATTACATCAACACTACACTACTCATGAGGTTTATTTTATCAACATTACATCAACACTAAATCAACACTACACTACTCATGAGGTTTATTTTATCAACATTACATCAACACTACATCAACACTACACTACTCATGAGGTTTATTTTATCAACATTATATCAACATTACATCAACATTACATCAACACCACACTACTCATGAGTTTTATTTTATCAACATTACATCAACACTACACTACTCATGAGGTTTATTTTATCAACATTACATCAACACTACACTACTCATGAGGTTTATTTTATCAACATTACATCAACACTACACTACTCATGAGGTTTATTTTATCAACATTACATCAACACTACACTACTCATGAGGTTTATTTTATCAACATTACATCAACACTACTCTACTCATGAGGTTTATTTTATCAACACTACATTAATACTACACTACTCATGAGGTTTATTTTATACACATTACATCAACATTATACTACTTATGTGGTTTATTTCATCAACATTACATTGGCATTTCTCATGAGCTTATTCCTGATATTTTTTCATTTTTTCTGTTGCAATAAGTTTCTTAAATGAGCTGGGGATGAATTGTTTATACACATATAGTAATATTAATATGTTACAATTACGTGAAGTTTTAGGGCACTACAGAGAATCCCAGTAGTAATGTAGGCCTATATACAATTTTTCCTGTCTGTATCACTGTTAGAGTCAGGGATAAAGTTAGGATTAGTGACAGGTTTAGCATAGTATAGCTATATCAGCGATAAAGTAGATCCCAAATGGCTTGCCAGTATTGTAACTGATCACTAATAGTTTTGTTTTTTATCTTTAAAAATGTGTTTTTAATTTCACAGTTAATATAACGGTTAAAGTATCAATATTGTAGATTACAGCACAGCTATGTTTAAAATAATTAAATTATCCTTGATGATTTTATGATGTTTCAGATGCTGTGACTCTGATGGTAAAATCTTACAGCCCAGTGTCCCCGCTACAGCTATTGATGATCAAATGATAAAGGTGAAATTTTTTAAATGTCATCTGTTAATTAATAAAACCTTAACACTTTCTGTGTTTGCTAACTGTTATTTAAAATTATTTTTAGAGAGCTTTCCTTTCCTACCCTGGGCCTGTGGGGGAGGTCTACACAACTTACAGCAATATTTCTGGCTTGATTTTTGGTATAGTCTTGGCTGCAGAAATGTCCAATGAATACTCCCTCAAACCTTCTAATGGCTGGACTTTTGGACAGGTGATTTTTTTTACTGCTGCTTTGTGTATAAGGCAGAATAATTAACTAATATTGTAATTGTTTCTTTTGGTTAAATTATACCATTTACTATTAATTGTTTTTTAATAATTAATTAAAAAAGAAATTTAAAATTAAAATCCCAAATTTGTGTTAAAAAATAGCTTAATGATATAATAAATTTAAGATAGAACAACTTTTAAAGCTGAAGATTTCCTATTTACCTTGCAGCTACCCAAGAGTGTTGTCTATTCAGGAACAGACTCCAGTAAACTGCCAGCTATGTTTTCTGATAACAGCCCACTAGAACTTGGACCGGAATGTTCCACAACTAACTTCTGTCTCTACTACACTTCTCCAATTCTACAGCTGGGAGTTCGGTTTGTTGATGTTTCATTTTTTAGTTCATCTCATTGTTATTGTTTTACACTCATTCTTAGTTCATCTCATTGTTATTTTTTTACATTCATTCTTAGTTCATCTCATTGTTATTTTTTTTACACTCATTCTTAGTTAATTTTATTGTTATAGTTTTACATTCATTCTTAGTTCATCTCAGTGTTATTTTTTTTACACTCATTCTTAGTTAATTTTATTGTTATAGTTTTACACTCATCTTAATTAGTCTGACCTAACTTGCAGAAAAGATGATATCCAATAATGACACTGTCCTGTTGTATGAATATTTGTATGAGTTCCAACTTCTGTTCTGCTGATATTTGTATGAGTTCCAACTTCTGTTCTGCTGATATTTGTATGAGTTCCAACTTCTGCTGATATTTGTATGAGTTCCAACTTCTGTTCTGCTGATATTTGTATGAGTTCCAACTTCTGTTCTGCTGATATTTGTATGAGTTCCAACTTCTGTTCTACTGATATTTGTATGAGTTCCAACTTCTGTTCTGCTGATATTTGTATGAGTTCCAACTTCTGTTCTGCTGATATTTGTATGAGTTCCAACTTCTGTTCTGCTGATATTTGTATGAATTCCAACCTCCCTGATATTTGTATGAGTTCCAACTTCTTCTGATATTTGTATGAGTTCCAACTTCTACTGATATTTGCATGAGTTCCAACTTCTGTTCTGCTGATATTTGTATGAGTTCCAACTTCTGTTCTACTGATATTTGTATGAGTTCCAACTTCTGTTCTGCTGATATTTGTATGAGTTCCAACTTCTGTTCTGCTGATATTTGTATGAATTCCAACCTCCCTGATATTTGTATGAGTTCCAACTTCTTCTGATATTTGTATGAGTTCCAACTTCTGTTCTGCTGATATTTGTATGAGTTCCAACTTCTGCTGATATTTGTATGAGTTCCAACTTCTGCTGATATTTGTATGAGTTCCAACTTCTGTTCTGCTGATATTTGTATGAGTTCCAACTTCTGCTGATATTTGTATGAGTTCCAACTTCTACTGATATTTGTATGAGTTCCAACTTCTGCTGATATTTGTATAAGTTCCAACTTCTGCTGATATTTGTATGAGTTCCAACTTCTGCTGATATTTGTATGAGTTCCAACCTCCCTGATATTCCAGAACTCAGGTCATCCTGCTGGGTGAGGAGAACAAGTGGGTGCCGCTGTCGCCCAAACGTTTCTACAGCATCCACCAAACACACGAGGACATCATCATCGTGCTCAACGTCAACGCACGTGAGTCCGTGACCCTGAGGTTCATGGAGGAGCTGGGGCCGGTGCTGACAGTTGAGTGTGACAACAGTGCCAGCGACACTCCTGCCGACCTCAGCTTCATCAGCATAGCCGAGAGGAAATGTTTTTTAAACTCCGGAGATAGTTAATGTTAAATTGTTTTATACACAGAATGATCACAAAATTTGAAAAATAAAAATATATATGTATAAGTTTGGTAGTCTGTATTCAATTATTAAATAAATAAACTGGGAGTGATCTCCCCTAAACTTTCTCGAATATCTATCTATAATTCTATATATATAATTCTCTTCTGGGAGACGCTAGAAAACAAGCTTTAAGCGTGCTCCCTACCACCCCCACCCCTACATGGTCTGGTGAGCTGTGGTTCACGCTAAATGTTTACAAGCAGAGCCGGGTTTAGTGACGACTATTTGGGGCAGATAATTTAGTTTGAAACGATTTTAAACGTAGGGGGGTAAATAAGTGGAGTTTACTTTAGGGGAGGGAGGGGGGTTATCGTCCTTAAATAGCTACTTATAGTGTTTTAAAGAAATATTTTCAGTGGCAGCGTTGGTACTGTCGAGTTCAAAAATTATGAATTACTGAAAAGTAGAAAAAACAACAACAAAATAAAATAGCGGCGTATGATATTCCGCGGGTCGGCTCGTTCTTATATAAAACAATAGGGGATGGGAACTCGGGATATAGTTATGATTTTTAATTCATTTTAAATACTTAAACTTTTTAAAATAGAATAAAATCTCGTGGAAAAAGAATTGCACACCAAGTGAACGCCAAATAAAATGTGCATAATAGTGCGCAATATTATTAGTACTTTATAAATTTACATTAGTTTTTTGTGATATCGAAAATAGCGTAAATTACTACTTTCGGTCAACGGAAATTACTCAAAGTTTTAAAGAAGGTATAGAATTAGATCTATTACTTACATGTGAAATTTCAGTTATCTATCTGAAATAGTACTCAAATTTTAGGCTTTTGAAAAATTCAAAGTGAAAAAAGTACCACTTCCGGTTATTGGAAATCGCTCAAAAGTTTATATGGATCTACGATTTTGATAAAATACTTATATATGGAGTTTCATCAACCTAGCTGTAACGGTACTCAAGTTATCGTGTTTACAGACACACACACACGGACAAGGTTGCAAAATTATATATTTTTCAGACTCAGGGAGGTGTAAAACGTTGCAAATCTAGATTTTTTTTTTGCACGATTACAAGACTTTCTCTATACTTTGTATATAGCCTATATAATTATATACAGATATATATATATATATAAATATATATATATATATATATATATATATATATATATATATATATATATACAGATTTTTATAAAGTGACATTGTGTGTGTATGTAGTCACTTATTAACTACCGTAGCATTAATAGCTATGTTTTTGGCTAAATCAGCTAACACTCTACAGTCTACAATAGCTGAGACACAAACGTTTCCACTCCGTCCCCACCCATTCCTATTAACCAGGCCGTCCTCGATGTGATAGAGTTCAACAGTAGTTGTTCTTATATATTTCCTTTTATCTTTTTAACATCTTTGCCATCAATATTTAGAACAAAAGGGAAGAATTCACTTAATTAAAAGAAAAAAATTGCTAGTGTTGTCTGACTTTTTGTAATGAAGAGTCCCGGATAGGGTGAATTGCAGAGTAAAAAAGAATAATTGGCAAGAAAGCGCAACGTTATTTATAGACACTTTTTCAGTGGCGGAACTAGGAAAAAGTGTCAACCTTCTTTCTTCCCCCCCCCCCCCCTTTTTCCTTGCAAACGTTTTTTTATATAGAGGTATATATATATATATATATATATATATATATATATATATATATATATATATATATATATATATATATATATATATATATATAGGCCTATATACATATATACATATATATCAATGCATATATTAGCCTTGAACGATCGAATGTATTTGTGTGATTATCATCATTGATATATTCCTTAAACTGATACTGATATAAAGACGTTTGATTCTGCTGATTAAGTTGCATTGTTTGTTATCAAATCAGAAAGATAAAACCTAAGGTCACACCTTGTGACTTGAAACCCACATCTTTGGTACAGGGCGGTCTGTTTTATCGTAAAGTTTGTTGGTTGGCGTGTTACAACACATACACAGGATGGCCCAGCTGGAAAAGATTTTACAAATATTTTCTTGTTTTTTGTTTTGTATAGTATTTTCCGGTGAGTAATCAATCTAATTTTAGAAGGGAAACACTAGTATTGTTTCATTAACGCTTTAGCTTAGGTTAGCAAAGTTTGTTACATTTTTTTAATATTTGGTGGGTACGTATTGTAATCGATGTTCCCTCGAAGGGAAAAAGTTCGTGTGCAATGTGTATTTGTGTGTGCTGTGTTCTAAAAGTCCTAAACAATGATATATGTATTTTACAAAATGACTGCGCGGCAGTTGAAAATTATTGCGCTATCGCGCAACCGCGCATCATAGAGGAACGTATTGCATGCAACAGTGACTTCCATCTTTTCTAGCAAAGTTTTACCCTTTAAAATGTCCTTCAAGTATCTGTTGTTGTTTTTGTTGTTTTTTTATGTCAGTATGTCAGGGTTTTTTGTTTTCTTTTTACACATTCCGCATTTACACAAGCGCATTGTTGGAAGCTACACAAGCGCATGTTTTAATGTTGCTTTGGGAACCTTTATGGGACAAACAGATTATTGTGAAGGACAAACAGTCACTTTAAAGGAAAACATCATACAGGCCTAGAAGGAGAAACTGATGATTGTGTAGACCAAACAAATCTTTTTGTAAGACAATCCAATAATTTAGCAGGATTGGTCCATTGATTTCAAAGTCTGTTATCTATATATATAATTCTCTTCTGGGAGCCGTTAGAAAACAAGCTGCAAACGCCTCCTTGCAGTCCCCTCTCTTTCTCTCTATCACTATCACTACCACCCCCACCCCACCTCCACATTGTCTGGCGTGAGCTGTGGTCACGCTAAATGTTTACAAAGCTAAATGTTTACAAATCGTAGAGCCGTAGAGTCGGGTTTCTATTAGGGGCAGATAATTTAGTTCGATTTTAAACTTACAGGAGGTAACTAAGAAATAACCAAGAGGAGGCTGCTTTCACGGGGGGGGGGGGGGGGGGGGTGTAGAGTCGGGGTTAGGGGAAAGGGGGGGGGGGTAGTGTTTTAAAGCAAATATTTTCAGTGGCAGCATTGGTACTGTCGAATTCACAAATTATGAATTACTGAAAAGTAGAAAATAAAACAACTAAATAGCGGCGTATGATACGCTGCGGGTCGGCTCGTTTGATATAATCTACAACACAAACCAAGTTCAATTAACGCGCCTAAAGGTCGCAGTCACAAATTATTAGAGCACGTCTGATTCCAGAATGTTCACAAAGTTCTGGACTGACTGTCGACTACTCAACCAATGGCACGTATAGTCTGCTGGTAGATGGGTCCGTCTGGTTGACCAACGGACAAACATATTTTTACAACAATGGCCGCCGATTCTCGTCTGCTGATGCGTCACTAAAGGTAAGATGGCGACGAGTGTTTGGGGGGGGGGGGGTGGAGGATATACGGTAATGGCCGTTAATGTTTATGCCCTTAAACTAATTTAAAAATCGCTAATGTCTACCCATCTACTGAAACCAAATGTCCACCCATCTAGTTAAGACAAATGTCCACCCATCTACTGAAACCAAATGTCCACCCATCTACTTAAGACAAATGTCCAGCCATATACTTAAACCAAATGTCCACCCATTTAATTAAGCCAGATGTCCACCCATCTACTTAAGACAAATGTCCACCCATCTACTTAAGACAAATGTCCACCCATCTACTGAAGCCAAATGTCCACTCATCTACTTAAGCCAAATGTCCACCCATCTACTTACGCCAAATGTCCACCCATCTACTGAAACCAAATGTCCACCCATCTACTGAAACCAAATGTCCACCCATTTAATTAAGCCAAATGTCCACCCATCTACTTAAGCCAAATGTCCACCCATCTATTTACGCCAAATGTCCACCCATCTACTGAAACCAAATGTCCACCCATCTACTGAAACCAAATGTCCACCCATTTAATTAAGCCAAATGTCCACCCATCTACTTAAGCCAAATGTCCACCCATCTATTTACGCCAAATGTCCACCCATCTACTGAAACCAAATGTCCACCCATCTACTGAAGCCAAATGTCCACAGTCCACCCATCTACTGAAGCCAAATGTCCACCCATCTACTTAAGCCAAATGTCCACCCATCTATTTACGCCAAATGTCCACCCATCTACTGAAGCCAAATGTCCACCCATCTACTGAAGCCAAATGTCCACCCATCTACTTACGCCAAATGTCCACCCATCTACTGAAGCCAAATGTCCACCCATCTACTGAAGCCAAATGTCCACCCATCTACTTAAGCCAAATGTCCACCCATCTACTTACGCCAAATGTCCATTGTTGTGTCCCCAGCTGGCCAACACGACCATCACGTCAGGGACTGACAAGGTGGGTCAGTGGCAGGCTATCCAGTACACCTACCTGGCGGGGACCCTGACAGTCATGGCGTCCATCAAAACCTACAACCTGCCCAACCTACCGCTGGTCGTGTTTTCTCAGGTCAGTTCAGGGCTGTCTAGTCACGTGTGAATCACGTGACTGGTTTAATCAGATGTGGGCAATTTTAATTGGTCACAACTGTTTAATCTTATTCCGTGTGACTGGAGTCAATGTTAACAGCACTACAACCCGTAACAACCCTAAACGTATCCTTAACCCTGGCTGTCACTAAATCAGATGGAGTAGAGTTCACGTGTTTCTGTGACCTCGGCATGGGAAAGGGCAGTGTGGTTATGTAGATCGACTCATCACTGTTGAGAAAACTGGGGGAGTTCCTACGGCTCTAGTATAGGGAAATGAACTCGAGACTTTTTGGCTAAACTTCAACTAAACAAAATAAAAATGTTTTCTTGAATGGTATAGGCCACGCTTCCACGTAGTCCTTTTGTTTTAACTAAAACAAACCCTTAACCGAATCCTAGTAGTAATCTAAACCTAAGCTTAAAGTATCGAAATGACGATACTCGTGTGTAGGCCTATAAACCCAAAAACCAGCTTTTACATCATAAAACTAACCAACGTTTCTGATTCCAGAAATACCTGACGGACGGCATCGGGACGTCTGCCCAAGACCCCGAATACGTCATCAGCTCGTTCCCCAGCTTCAACACCAGACAGGAGTCGGATGTAGAACTGGGTTACCTGGGCTTTGGTGGGGACATGGCCGGGTATAACGGCATCAACATGGGCAGGTAGAGAATTGACAAGTCGTAGGACTGGCACTCATTCAACTCTCGATATTGCGCAGACTGGCTCATATACGTGTGTATGTATATATATATATATATATATATATATATATATATATATATATATATATATATATATATATATATATATATATATATATATATATATATATATATATATATACATATATACATATATATATGTGTGTGTATGTGTGTGTGTGTATGTAGCCTATTTTATTTTCCATTATTATTTATATAATAGGCATATGTGCTTGTTTTATCAATCACCCACTGTCACAGAAACGACATACAATACTTCCGTCTGTTAAGTTTCAGTTCTTGTTACGTAAAGACAAATTTCATCATAAATTTTTACCTTACTCTCTTTCAGTTGGCAACACAGTACTTTTATGTACACTGGTATTACAGGGGGACCACTCGTGTTATTCGACAACTCGAGTAACGCCATGATTATCTCCCCTATGAGTCAGTTTATGGCGGCGTCCAACCGTCTGGAGCTATTTCTCGGCGAACTGCAGTACGGCATTATGGGACTTATCGACACAGTTCCGAAGGGATATGACGTGGATTTTATTCTTTATTACAGCGACAGGGGCATTAATCAGGTATTTTTTTTACAAACAGGAGAGTTAACAATTCACAAAAAAACCAGGGCTGTTACAAATAAAACATTTATTGATCTAAGGGAGACAAGCATCAAATGCGATTGTCTCCCTTTGAATTTTTCAACACATGACGAGCGTACATGTTGATATTTGTTTATATTTTTTGTTCAGTATATTATATATGCTATTGTTTTGTGCATCCATATCTGGACCATCACAGGGCAGGGAAAGTAGAGTGAGACGACACTGGAAAAGGAATGTAGCCATAAGTTATCTAGAATTACAATGACGTTTTAAAATTTTCATGATCTGCCAATTGTCTTCCAAGTTTCTGAATTCGTCTCGTTTTAGGTGATTCAAGAATGGGGTGAATTTATGAGGATGTTTTACAACAAAAGTCCTGAACGGCGCAACACGGCCTTGACCGTCAACTACATGGGTTACTGGACTGACAACGGTGGGTGGGGGGATGATTCAACACCATTTTACGGGGGAGGGGGGGTGATTCAACATCATTTTTTGGGGGGGGGGGGATGATTCAACATCATTTTTTTTTTGGGTGGGGAGATGATTCAACATCATTTTTTTGGGGGGGGGGGATGATTCAACATCATTTTAGGGGTGGGGGGAATGATTCAACATCATTTTAGGGGTGGGGGGAATGATTCAACATCATTTTAGGGGGGGGGGGTGATTCAACATCATTTTAGGGGTGGGGGGAATGATTCAACATCATTTTAGGGGTGGGGGGAATGATTCAACATCATTTTAGGGGTGGGGGGAATGATTCAACATCATTTGGGGGGGGGGGGATTTGATTCAACATCATTTTAGGGGTGGGGGGAATGATTCAACGTCATTGGGGGGGGGGGGGATTTGATTCAACATCATTTTAGGGGTGGGGGGAATGATTCAACATCATTTGGGGGGGATTTGATTCAACATCATTTTAGGGGTGGGGGGAATGATTCAACATCATTTGGGGGGGGGGGGGGATTTGACTCAACATCATTTTAGGGGTGGGGGGAATGATTCAACATCATTTGGGGGGGGGGGGGATTTGATTCAACATCATTTTACCTGGAGCGGGGGGATCAGAGTTTCTCCAAGGCATCATTTTACGGGGAGGAGGTGGGGGGGGGGGGGGCAATCCTCTTATATCGTAAACTTTTTTTTAACAAAATCCCAGTGCCTCAAATTTTATATAATCTCATTCTTTAGTCTCAATCATGCAATGCCCCATTTCTCGTATAATCTCGTGTATTACATACTCCCATTTCTCGTAAAATCTCTTGCATTACATACCCCCACATCTCACATCTCGTATAATCTCGTGTATTATATCCCCCCTCACACATCTCCTAAAATCTCGTGTATTACATACCCCCACATCTCACATCCCGTAAAATCTCGTGCTCCAGGTGCCTACTACTACTACCACACCGAAGATGGACAGAACTACCAGACGACCATGCTGGATGTCGTCAAGTACATCAACCAAAAGCAGATACCATTCAAGTAGATCGTTTTTAAATTTTGTTCAAGTTTAGCCAAACTGTAACTTAAGCCAACAGATGCGTAAAATATGCCAGAGAAAACTTCGGCATAAAATGTAAAAAAAAAAACCTTTTGTCGATGCTATTACTGTTCATTTTAAATTACTGTAAACTCTTTAAAATACTGACCTTGAACCTCAGGTACATGCAGTATGACTCATGGTGGTACGCTAAAGGTCACAAGCGTGGAACAGTCACGTGGACACCGGAAGCAGATATTTTCCCAGACGGCTTTAGGTGAGTTGTTTCTGAATTGTGCTTGTATACACAAGTTCCTAAACACCATTGCAAAAAAAAATCTTAAGTTAAATCATTCGGTCCACTCAAGTGTATTACAATTTACATTAAAAAAGTTTTAAAATGCAACATTTTCAACAATCAAAAAACTGCTAAAATTAAAATGGGGGTGGGGGTCTGTTAGAATAAGCGCTAATGTTATATGATAAAACGCTATGCTAGGGACCATTCATATAATCACTTCACTGACCTATTGTTTGAAATTTAGGTCACTGACCTATTGTTTGAAATTTAGGTCACTGACCTATTGTTTAAAATTTACGTTTGATTATACCATTTTTTCCACAATTTGTAGATACTTGTATGAGCAGACGAAGTTGCCGTTTGGATGTCACAACCGTTACTGGTGAGTTCGTTGTTTGGTAGGTCATGCATTGGTTTAGTAGGCCATACATTGGTTAAGTAGGTCATGCATTGGTTTAGTAGGTCATGCATTGGTTTAGTAGGTCATGCATTGGTTTAGTAGGTCATGCATTGGTTTAGTAGGTCATGCATTTGTTTAGTAGGTCATGCATTGGTTTAGTAGGTCATGCATTGGTTTAGTAGGTCATACATTGGTTTAGTAGGTCATGCATTGGTTTAGTAGGTCATGCATTGGTTTAGTAGGTCATGCATTGTTTTAGTAGGTCAATCATTGGTTCAGTAGGTCAATCATTGGTTACTTATTTGAGTAGCTATCATGACTGCAGAATCTCCACCAGAGTGTGTATAGTGAGTTTCTATAGAAACTACCCAGTACCTAGCAACCATATCCAAGTATAGAAACTACCCAGTACCTAGCAACCATATCCAAGTATAGAAACTACCCAGTACCTAGCGACTATATCCAAATATAGAAGCTACCCAGTACCTAGCGACTATATCCAAATATAGAAGCTACCCAGTACCTAGCGACTATATCCAAATATAGAAGCTACCCAGTACCTAGCGACTATATCCAAATATAGAAACTACCCAGTACCTAGCGACCATATCCAAATATAGAAGCTACCCAGTACCTAGCGACTATATCCAAATATAGAAGCTACCCAGTACCTAGCGACCATATCCAAATATAGAAGCTACCCAGTACCTAGCGACCACATCCAAATATAGAAACTACCCAGTACCTAGCGACCAGTGTTTCTTCCAGACTTTTTTCTCCGGGGGGGGGGCACTTGAAATTTTCGGGGGGGGGGGGCGGTAGACTTTCTTCGGGGGGGGGGGCGGACACTGTTAAAAGTATATATTTTCTATATAAATTATATAAATTTCATTTCGTTCGGGGGGGGGGGGGGGGCGGTAGAACTTTTTCGGGGGGGGGGGGGGGGGGGCGAAGAGAGATGCCTGGAAGAAACTCTGCTAGCGACTATATCCAAGTATAGAAACTACCCAGTACCTAGCGACCATATCCAAATATAGAAACTACCCAGTACCTAGCGACCATATCCAAATATAGAAACTACCCAGTACCTAGTGACCATATCCAAATATAGAAGCTACCCAGTACCTAGTGACCATATCCTAATATAAAAGCTACCCAGTGTGAATGAGAAACAATCCAGAGTGACTGAGGTTTAACGAACAATCCCCTCATATAAAACTGAAGTATCTGTATCTCCTGACATGAGATATCTGCAGACTTGTAGCATCAATTCTGCACAGTTGTTTCCCATTCGTAAATCAAACTCAGGTTGCAAGTTTACAGGCAGGTAACTCTGCACATGACATACCCCTTGCATTAGCTCCCCTGATTGTTTATATCCAACATCCTACTCGCCATTAAACAGTCGGACGTTGGTCACGTGGTATCATACGTCATTTTTACAGCACGTCATTTTTACAGGGACAACCAAACAACGTACGCCAAATATAATGGCGGGAAATACAACTTCCTGTCTGATACATATTTTGGGTTAGCCGTCCCCAATGACGCAGTGAGTTCAGCCATCTTAATTTTTAAATTGATCTGGTTGGCTTTTTAATATCTTTAATGGTAGGGGCAGAAAGGGGGCTCAATTTTAGTTGAACGGAGTGGAAAGAGTTAGAAAAATTATTGATACTAGATCGAATGGTTTAAAAAAAACAGTTCTGTCGCACTGTTATTTCTTACTTAAAACACGGAAACGGAACAAACTGTTATTATTAATTTTTATTTTTTTCATTTAGACACGTTATTTTAAACCATTTAATAATTGTTTTGTTTTACATTTTTATTTAACAGTTAAATTATTATAGAATGAAAGTCTAAAGAAAGTTGTTTTATTTTCCAATTCACACCTGCAGCAATTTTGGCTTGACCTCTTCAACATGACCAAACAATGGGGGCAATTTATTTTATACGAGCAGGTAGGTTTTGTGGGGACAGTTTATTTTATACGAGCAGGTAGGTTTTGTGGGGGCAGTTTTATACGAGCAGGTAGGTTTTGTGGGGGACATTTTTATACGAGCAGGTAGGTTTTGTGGGGACAGTTTATTTTATACGAGCAGGTAGGTTTTGTGGGGGCAGTTTTATACGAGCAGGTAGGTTTTGTGGGGGACATTTTTATACGAGCAGGTAGGTTTTGTGGGGACAGTTTTATACGAGCAGGTAGGTTTTGTGGGGACAGTTTATTTTATACGAGCAGGTAGGTTTTGTGGGGACAGTTTTATACGAGCAGGTAGGTTTTGTGGGGACAGTTTATTTTATACGAGCAGGTAGGTTTTGTGGGGACAGTTTATTTTATACGAGCAGGTAGGTTTTGTGGGGACAGTTTATTTTATACGAGCAGGTAGGTTTTGTGGGGACAGTTTATTTTATACGAGCAGGTAGGTTTTGTGGGGACAGTTTTATACGAGCAGGTAGGTTTTGTGGGGACAGTTTATTTTATACGAGCAGGTAGGTTTTGTGGGGACAGTTTTATACGAGCAGGTAGGTTTTGTGGGGACAGTTTATTTTATACGAGCAGGTAGGTTTTGTGGGGACAGTTTTATACGAGCAGGTAGGTTTTGTGGGGACAGTTTATTTTATACGAGCAGGTAGGTTTTGTGGGGACAGTTTATTTTATACGAGCAGGTAGGTTTTGTGGGGACAGTTTATTTTATACGAGCAGGTAGGTTTTGTGGGGACAGTTTTATACGAGCAGGTAGGTTTTGTGGGGACAGTTTATTTTATACGAGCAGGTAGGTTTTGTGGGGACAGTTTATTTTATACGAGCAGGTAGGTTTTGTGGGGACAGTTTATTTTATACGAGCAGGTAGGTTTTGTGGTGACAGTTTTATACGAGCAGGTAGGTTTTGTGGGGACAGTTTATTTTATACGAGCAGGTAGGTTTTGTGGGGACAGTTTACTTTATACGAGCAGGTAGGTTTTGTGGGGACAGTTTTATACGAGCAGGTAGGTTTTGTGGGGACAGTTTATTTTATACGAGCAGGTAGGTTTTGTGGGGACAGTTTTATACGAGCAGGTAGGTTTTGTGGGGACAGTTTATTTTATACGAGCAGGTAGGTTTTGTGGGGACAGTTTTATACGAGCAGGTAGGTTTTGTGGGGACAGTTTATTTTATACGAGCAGGTAGGTTTTGTGGGGACAGTTTTATACGAGCAGGTAGGTTTTGTGGGGACAGTTTATTTTATACGAGCAGGTAGGTTTTGTGGGGACAGTTTTATACGAGCAGGTAGGTTTTGTGGGGACAGTTTATTTTATACGAGCAGGTAGGTTTTGTGGGGACAGTTTTATACGAGCAGGTAGGTTTTGTGGGGACAGTTTATTTTATACGAGCAGGTAGGTTTTGTGGGGACAGTTTTATACGAGCAGGTAGGTTTTGTGGGGACAGTTTATTTTATACGAGCAGGTAGGTTTTGTGGGGACAATTTTATACGAGCAGGTAGGTTTTGTGGGGACAGTTTTATACGAGCAGGTGGGTTTTGTGGGGACAGTTTTATACGAGCAGGTGGGTTTTGTGGGGACAGTTTTATACGAGCAGGTGGGTTTTGTGGGGACAGTTTTATACGAGCAGGTAGGTTTTGTGGGGACAGTTTTATACGAGCAGGTAGGTTTTGTGGGGACAGTTTTATACGAGCAGGTAGGTTTTGTGGGGACAGTTTTATACGAGCAGGTAGGTTTTGTGGGGATAGTTTTATACGAGCAGGTAGGTTTTGTGGGGACAGTTTTATACGAGCAGGTAGGTTTTGTGGGGATAGTTTTATACGAGCAGGTAGGTTTTGTGGGGACAGTTTTATACGAGCAGGTAGGTTTTGTGGGGATAGTTTTATACGAGCAGGTAGGTTTTGTGGGGATAGTTTTATACGAGCAGGTAGGTTTTGTGGGGATAGTTTTATACGAGCAGGTAGGTTTTGTGGGGACAGTTTTATACGAGCAGGTAGGTTTTGTGGGGACAGTTTTATACGAGCAGGTAGGTTTTGTGGGGATAGTTTTATACGAGCAGGTAGGTTTTGTGGGGACAGTTTTATACGAGCAGGTAGGTTTTGTGGGGATAGTTTTATACGAGCAGGTAGGTTTTGTGGGGATAGTTTTATACGAGCAGGTAGGTTTTGTGGGGATAGTTTTATACGAGCAGGTAGGTTTTGTGGGGACAGTTTTATACGAGCAGGTAGGTTTTGTGGGGACAGTTTTATACGAGCAGGTAGGTTTTGTGGGGACAATTTATTTTATACGAGCAGGTAGGTTTTGTGGGGACAGTTTTATACGAGCAGGTAGGTTTTGTGGGGACAGTTTTATACGAGCAGGTAGGTTTTGTGGGGACAGTTTATTTTATACGAGCAGGTAGGTTTTGTGGGGACAGTTTTATACGAGCAGGTAGGTTTTGTGGGGACAATTTATTTTATACGAGCAGGTAGGTTTTGTGAGGGCAATTTATTTTATACGAGCAGGTAGGTTTTGTGGGGACAGTTTATTTTATACGAGCAGGTAGGTTTTGTGGGGACAGTTTATTTTATACGAGCAGGTAGGTTTTGTGGGGACAATTTATTTTATACGAGCAGGTAGGTTTTGTGAGGACAGTTTTATACGAGCAGGTAGGTTTTGTGGGGACAGTTTATTTTATACGAGCAGGTAGGTTTTGTGGGGACAGTTTTATACGAGCAGGTAGGTTTTGTGGGGACAATTTATTTTATACGAGCAGGTAGGTTTTGTGAGGGCAATTTATTTTATACGAGCAGGTAGGTTTTGTGGGGACAGTTTATTTTATACGAGCAGGTAGGTTTTGTGGGGACAGTTTATTTTATACGAGCAGGTAGGTTTTGTGGGGACAATTTATTTTATACGAGCAGGTAGGTTTTGTGAGGGCAATTTATTTTATACGAGCAGGTAGGTTTTGTGGGTACAGTTTTATACGAGCAGGTAGGTTTTGTGGGGACAATTTATTTTATACGAGCAGGTAGGTTTTGTGGGGGCAATTTATTTTATACGAGCAGGTAGGTTTTGTGGGGACAATTTATTTTATACGAGCAGGTAGGTTTTGTGGGGACAGTTTTATACGAGCAGGTAGGTTTTGTGGGGACAGTTTTATACGAGCAGGTAGGTTTTGTGGGGGCAATTTATTTTATTCGAGGAGGTAGGTTTTGTGGGGACAATTTATTTTATACGAGCAGGTAGGTTTTGTGGGGACAGTTTTATACGAGCAGGTAGGTTTTGTGGGGACAATTTATTTTATACGAGCAGGTAGGTTTTGTGGGGGCAATTTATTTTATACGAGCAGGTAGGTTTTGTGGGGACAGTTTATTTTATATGAGGAGGTTGTTTTGTGGGGGCAATTTATTTTATACGAGCAGGTAGGTTTTGTGGGGGGACATTCTATTATATACGAGCAGGTAGGTTTTGTGGGGGGACATTCTATTTTATACGAGCAGGTAGGTTTTGTGGGGACAGTTTATTTTATACGAGCAGGTAGGTTTTGTGGGGACAGTTTATTTTATACGAGCAGGTAGGTTTTGTGGGGACAGTTTTATACGAGCAGGTAGGTTTTGTGGGGACAATTTATTTTATACGAGCAGGTAGGTTTTGTGGGGACAGTTTTATACGAGCAGGTAGGTTTTGTGGGGACATTTTATTTTATACGAGCAGGTAGGTTTTGTGGGGGGACATTTTATTTTATAAGAGCAGGTAGGTTTTGTGGGGGGACATTTTATTTTATAAGAGCAGGTAGGTTTTGTGGAGACAATTGCGTAAGTTGTATGTGTATGTGCGCGGTTTTGTATGTGTGCGCTTGTGTAATTGTGCGCTTGTGTATGTGCGCACTTGTGTGTGTGTGTTGTGTATGTGCGCGTTGTGCGCTTTTACCATCAGCCCTATTTCACAATTTCCATGAAGCTGCTTCTTAAACTAACAAGTTCACCTCCCCCCCCCCCCCCCCGCCCCCAGGACTGGATGAACTGGGAGAACGACCAGAACAAGGCTCTCTTGACTGACCTCACCCTGGGCCGGAAGTGGTTGACGGACATGGGCAACGGCGCCGCGGCCTATCCCGACATTGAGATCCAGTACTGCATGTCCTACTCTCGTCACATCCTGCAGTCGCTAGAGGTCCCTGCCGTCACGCAGGTAAGGTCAAGGCCAGTGAGATCCTTAGTGGTCAAGGTCCTTAGTGGTCAAACATCCAGAAAACAGAAGAATCCTACTGAAATTTGAAAATTCTATTGCATTGATTTTGAGATTTAACCATGCACTGCATTAGCACCTACATGTTAAGTTAACCCTACCCCACACTATACCCCCACCTGTACAGTTAACCACACTATACACCTACTTGTAAAGTTAACCACACTATACACCCACCTGTCAAGGTCAAGATCCTTAGTGGTCAAACATCCATAAAACAAAAGAATCCTACTGGAATTGTATTGCATTGCTTTTGAGATTTAACCATACACTGCATTAGCACCTACATGTTAAGTTAACCCTACCCCACACCATACACCCCACCTGTACAGTAAACCACACCCTACCCCCCCCCCCCCCCACTAGGCCCGAGTGAGCGAGGACTACCACCCAGGGGGCAGACAGTGGAACATCGGCATCTCCTCCATGCTAGCAGACGCCGTGGGTCTCGCTCCTTTTAAGGACACGTTCTGGACCACTGAACAGCAGACCGGAAGTCCATATGGAGGTAAGGAAGAATCACATAGTGGCGTCACTAGGAGGTGAGGAGGGGGCGACAGTAAACATGTAGTCAGTAACATCTTTAGGCTTGACCGGTACTTTGTTCTATAATTGTCAAAAATGTTTTTTGGTAAGAAAAAATATCGATATTCCGCCCTTGACCTCTGGTTGTGATTGCTCCACCCCCAGATTCAAACGATTTCAATTAAGTTTTAATCCAATTAATATTTCCACCAAACCGTTCCCGTCCGGCAGCTGACACGGAACCCCTGACAGAACTCAACAGCCTGCTCGCCACCCTCAGCACGGGCCCTGTGGGACCCGGGGACGGGATAGGCTACATCAACCTCACCCTGCTGATGAGGTAGGTACACACAGCCAGTGTTTCTTTCATACATTATTTCTCGGGGGGGGGGGGGGGCACTTGAAAATGTCGTTGTGCGGATTTAAATTTCCGGGGAACGGAAACTGGTTGAAGTTTATATTTTGTATATGAATTTTATTTTGATCGGGGGGGGGGGGGACACATGCTTTCTTCCGATGGGAGGAAGGAGCGACCGAAGAGATGCCTGAAAAAAAAACTGCTCATAACTTTGGGAGTATAAACGTTTGTTTGTTTTTATTGTATTTTTTTATTGAAATATAAAGATATTTTTATTTCAGTACCGAAGTTTTGAAGAAAATAGCGAAACAAAAATTGTACGTGCTTTATATTCTCGTCTAACAGATGCTGTGACTCGACTGGCCAGATTTTACAGCCAAACAAACCAGCCACGGCCATCAACGACCAAATTAAAAAGGTAGGTAACTGGGACAGCTCAGTCCGACCGGCAGTAACACGACGACCAAATCAAAAAGGTAGGTCGCTAGAACAGAGCAGTCCGCACGGCCGCAACACGAAGTGCTAACATCAACAGTCGGCTTTGTTTACATTCTTTTTTAACAGCATCAGATCTAAATACAAGTTGTTAATTAATATGACGCTTTCAAAATATAATTTAAAAATTAAAATCTCATGTATTTTAGCCGAAGCCTTTGAAATGAGATTGTAAAACAAGTATTTGATCGTGTAGTCTTCTATAAAGCACACACAAGATGGTTTCCTCTATAACGTAACTGTATTACACATGTTAGCTTTGTGCTTGAACCAAAATGTGAATGTTTCTAGCGAGCTTTCCTGTCCTACCCCGGGCCATTGGGCGAGGTCTACACCACCCACAGCAACGTGTCCAGCCTCATCTTCGGCATCGTCATGGCAGCCGACTTACAGAATGTGTACTCCTTGACCCCATCCAGTGGGTGGACGCCTGGACTGGTAATCTTCACGTGACTGTAATTAGTGACCAAACCTCACGTGACTGTAATTAGTGACCAAACATCACGTGACTGTAATTAGTGACCAAAGCTCACGTGACTGTCCAAAGAAGTGACCTAGCCTCATATGACTGACCCTACAACTAAATGATGGGCGCTAATGATGCTGACATTGCACTAAAACCACGCTACTATAGACTACATAATGTTGTTTTGTTTTGTTTTATTTGACCCTACCCCGTCACAAACCGTCAAAGTTAAAAAAAAAATAAAAAAAAGTCTTACTTCACATGATTACTTCAAATTACTTGAAATTTCCCCCACTCTCCACCCCCAGATCCCGCCCAACAGCGTGGTGTATTCTGGGACCGCAGCTGTCAGCCAGCTACAGCCGTTCTCTGAGAGCAGCCCGCTACAGCTAGGACAGCAGTGTACAGCCCGGCTGTTCTGTCTCTTCTACACCTCGCCAGTCCTACAGCTGGGCTCACAGTATGTCATCTTTCTTTCTCTAAGTCATTTCAGTCATTCACAGTCAGTCACCTTTCTCTAAGTCATTTCAGTCATTCACAGTCAGTCACCTTTCTCTAAGTCATTTCAGTCATTCACAGTCACCTTTCTCTAAGTCATTTCAGTCATTCACAGTCACCTTTCTCTAAGTCATTTCAGTCATTCACAGTCACCTTTCTCTAAGTCATTTCAGTCATTCACAGTCACCTTTCTCTAAGTCATTTAAGTCATTCACAGTCACCTTTCTGTAAGTCATTTCAGTCATTCACAGTCACCTTTCTCTAAGTCATTTCAGTCATTCACAGTCAGTCATCTCTCTCTACGTCATTTCATTCATTCTGTCAGTCACCTTTCTCTAAGTCATTTCAGTCATTCACCTTTCTCTAAGTCATTTCAGTCATTCACCTTTCTCTAAGTCATTCACAGTCAGTCATCTTTCTCTAAGTCATTTCAGTCATTCACAGTCAGTCACCTTTCTCTTAGTCATTTCAGTCATTCACAGTCAGTCACCTTTCTGTAAGTCATTTCAGTCAATTTCAGTCATTCACAGTCTGTCATCTTTCTCTAAGTCATTTCAGTCATTCACAGTCAGTCACCTTTCTCTAAGTCATTTCAGTCATACGTGACTTAAACTCAACTCAATCTTTGTTTTAAGTCATATGTTTCCTATAGTGATTTGTGTCTTTAAGTCATCTGTTAAAGCTACTGTTGTTCTTTAAGTTATCTAATTCGTTTAACACAAAATGTTGAGTCAAGTGTATTGTTGATGAACAAATGACGACCTACGTGCCGACCTAGTCCTGAGAGAAACAAATGTTTATTCCAGCACCAAAGTCATCCTGCTAGGCGAGCTGGACAAGTGGGTGCCTATGTCGTCCAAGAGGTTCCGTGCCGTGGCCGTGTCTGATGATGACGTCACTGTGGAGCTGACGGTCAACGCTCGCGAGACGGTCACGTTTAATTACGTCACTGACAACGATCCCGTCCGGACGGTCGTGTGTGACAACAGCCAAAGTTCAAGGCCTGCTGACGTCACTATCATCAGCATTGCTAAGAGCTCGTGCACACTGAAGTTTTTTTAGCCCACCCACACCCACCCGCACACACCCGCACACACCCGCCCCCCTCCAACCCGCACCCACTCGCCCCAACACACCCACACCCCTTTCACTGGTATCCTAATACAAATTTGTCTTCCAACAATATACCTTCAACCAACCCTTACCATATTCATAATCTCTTTTTAATCCATACCTCCATACTGTTCATATGTGTATATTTTTAAAACAATAAAAGATGTTTTACGTTCCAATATCAGTTTCCAGTTTCTTTTTCTTATTTATAACTTTTGGTTTGGCCAATGTACAATTTATTTTAAAACCCTACCATCTTGACTACAATACACACAAGCAGGGCATGCATAGTAAATATAGTTTAGGCCCGCGTTTTATACGCCACCATTTGTGTGTAGGCTTGGTGCCGACAAGACGAAAAGGGAAGTTGACACTTGCGAGATAGCAATACAGAAATGGCAAGAGTTCAAGTGTATCGTACATGGGCAGGTGTAAAGCGACCAATCATAATCAATGCTAGAAAAACGTGTACTCACCTGTGGCTGCACGTAAGCCTGTAAGTCACGTGAGCCATTGAAGCTGTGAGGATGCAAACACCAGCTGAAGTCCCGGCTTAAGCCGTGCGTGAACCATGGACCCACCAGTCAGTGACCACAGGGTCCACTGCTTGATTTCCCTCTAACATCACGTGATCCCCAGCTATTGTGAATTATTTAGGGGCTGACAGGGGGCCCCAATTTTTAAGGGGGGTGCGACAACTAATCTACCGTGAGGATCTATAATCTCTCGTTTCAGTGCAACTTTGGCTACACCCAGTCCAGGGTAATTAACGCCTAACCTTAATCTAGATCATTAGAAAACAATAGAGGGTCAATTAGTTATAGTATCCAATCACAAGATCCACAGGTTAAGTTATCTTCTCAAATCACGTGATCCACTGCTTAAGTCAACGTTTCATATCGTGTATGACGTTTCTGCATTATACTTTTATACGTTTTCGTTTAGATCTGCTGATGTTGATATGTAACGAATATTTCTTATAATTTGTTGATATTAATTAGAATAAATAACGTATTGCTATCGCTGCTTTGTCCGATGATTATTGTTTTCTCTAGAGTTTTGAATAAACTTTAGGCTTAGGGCAATGATGAGAGGCAAAATGAAGCTATGGTCACGGTTTGTGTCCAAGTAGCTACCAGTAAAATTATATTAACGAATGAATAGGTATGGCTAAACAGAACGCGCATGTTGAATTAAACCAACAGAAAAAAAACACTTTTTTGGTCACATACCCAATGTTTGTATTTCCCCTTCCCCTCCAACACCCCGCCCCTTCCCCACATACACCCCTGTTCTTTCTCAACAACACCCCGACCCTCACCCACCAAAACCCCATCCACCCCTCCCTTCTGATGAACATACATCAGATTTCATTTTATGATTCTTATTTTTTCTTTGCTGTTTTTTGCTGTTCGTGCAGTCTGTTATTTACGACGAAAACCAGAGGCGTACCCTGCCTGCTTTCAAAGTGTAGGCCCGTGCTAAAAAGTTACTTTGGTCAGCGAACACAATTTCAAAGTTTAAATATATAATTATATATATAATTATATATATATATATATATATATATATATATATATATATATATATATATATATATATATATATATATATACAGATATGTAATTATATATTATATATATATATATATATAATTTTATATATTTATATATATATATATATATTAGCCGTCCCGGCCAGGCCCTGCACTGGCATCTCTGAAAAACGTATCTGTAAAGGACCATAACTTGTGTGTTTAGTAATCAGCATTTACCCGGCATTGCCCACCCTAACCACAACCAACCAAAACACACAAAAAAAACGCAAACATAACACTAACACAAAACAAACACAAACGAAAACACAAAAACAAACGCAAAGACAAACCCAACCACAAACACAAAGAAAACACAAACACTAACGCAAACAAAAAAGCAAACGAAAACAAATCCAAACGCAAACACAATATAAACAAATATATAATTACATAACATATCTGAAGTTCAAAATGCTAGACACCACCACGTAGTTTGGATTTCTTGTTGAATTTCATATTTAAATATAAGAAAAGAAGCACCTTTGTAAGATTCTTGTGCTAGTTTCTCTAACTTTCTCATCTGTAAAGCACATTTCTTTTTATTCCATGCAAGACTTGTTAAGCGATTTCGGGCTTGCCAATTAATAGATGAAAGGTTGCAATATTTTACCTTTAATTTAAATGTAAAAATAAATACGTGCAGGTGGTGGTATAGAAATGTTGACTTTCTAAAAGTGAATGTCAGACAGGCGAAGAGACGCCCCTTCTCATGTTAAAAAAAAAGACAGCAATTAGCAGATACGCCCCTGTCTGCGGTAGAATCAACATTAAGACAATCTGAAGACCTGCCCCTGGTGGGGTAGAACAGTATAAAAGGCGTGGCTAGGCGGGCAGACGATCAGATGTGGGCTATTGTGCTGGTACAGTCCAGGAGTCACAAGCTAGTACAGACTCGGAGTCAGAAACATAGACCAGGCTTGAGAAACGTGCACTTAGCAGGAGTCACAAGCTACTACAGACTTGGAGTCAGAAACATAGACGGACCAGGCTTGAGAAACGTGCACTTAGCAGGAGTCACAAGCTACTACAGACTTGGAGTCAGAAACATAGACGGACCAGGCTTGAGAAACTTGCACTTAGCAGGAGTCACAAGCTACTACAGACTCGGAGTCAGAAGTTGATACAGACCTTAGAGACCTTCGTGTAAGTACATCTGTTTTATATTTGACTCACCCTAATAGGCTATAGAAGCCTTTCAAATTTGATTACAGAAACAACTATAGAAACATCGAAAAAATATCGAACGAATTCATCCTCTGTAGTGGTATACAGTTTTTATTAAAATATCACATAGGTGTAACAGAGGATTGATAAACATTTTTTACTACTGGTGTTATCGTTTATATCAACATAAGATTAGATGCCATATTTTGATAGAAACGCAGTTGACACCGGAGAGAATCAAGTTACATAAGACATCAACAATTGACTGTTTAAAATAACTAGGACCAATTGTAAGCTGAAATCCCTTACACTTGTGGCAGATAGTGGTACATCTTTTAGTTGAGCAGCTACCCTGTTTTACAATCATGAATGAAATGTTCGGACATTTTGATGTATATTGTAACACATTCACATTGTATATTTACTCTGTGACTTTAGAGCAGTCAAAGAGTAACCAGCTGATGTGGTACCGCTTATTTAACCATTTAGCAGATTGAAGACTTAATTCAGTCTACTTTACTCTGTAGTTTTACTCCCACTTTTTTTTCTATGAGTATCCTTAAGAGAAAAATGACGTCACGATTTTTTACGATGTTGCCTTCCCGTCCTTAAATATTACGTATCCTCACACCGTAGATTTCTCCACCCCCTCCTTCTCCACATACACACCAAAAGTTACATCAAGCCTACACCATCTACCACCACCCCACCTCCTCCTCTTTTGAAGCAGACATCTATTCCTAAACTATTCACAGAACTGGCTCAGCACTGGCTACATTATCAATTTTTATTTCAGATTACACAAATATCTTCTCAAATTCATTTTTTTTAAATGTAAATGTCTGAGGTCACACTTTTTGGCCTCCCCCCCCCCCCCTTAGAAGTGTAACGTCGTTAATGGACGACGCCGTCATTTGTTGTAGCAGCAAAACGAAACATGTTACAAATCTTTTTATGCAGCTTTCATATCACAATTTTGATGTGGGCCGCTTAGTTGGCTTGCTTTCCATTTTTTCTTCTGTCCATTCAGTTCTGAGTTTTAAGAAAAACCAAAATCGGTTTCCTATACTATCTTTCTTCTATGAACATTTTATTTTTGTATTGTCTTCACCCAGATCAAGATGGCGTCGACCTTTCAACTCGCCCTCGTTTTGACCCAGTGCCTGCTTCTGCTCACTGTGGTGACGTCACTACAGCTCGGGGTCAAGGACGGTGACCAGTTCTTCCCGGTGGTGCTGCTTGACCAGACGAAAGGTCAGGAGTTCAAGGCTGACTTGGCCTCGCTGCTGGACATGTCGTCAGGCCTCAACCCCGCGACACGCATGGGTAGAGATGACCCACTTTCGCTGGCTCGCCGGAGCGAGAGGAAGCCCTCCATCTATCTCCTAGGGGGCGCCATGGGATGATCAGGGCTCTCCATCTATCTCCTAGGGGGCGCCATGGGATGATCCAAGACATTTTTAATTATTTCTTTACATCTGAAATTGTACTTTAATGTTGTGCTATGATGAAATTTATGTAACATAAGAAATTAAAACATTTAAGTTGGAAACTTCGTCAAAAAGAAAACTATTTGCTGACTTTCATTTCATTGTGCTGTAATAATGTTTGTATCACGCCATTTCATTGTGCTGTAATAATGTTTGTATCACGCCATTTCATTGTGCTGTAATAATGTTTGTATCACGCCATTTCATTGTGCTGTAATAATGTTTGTATCACGCCATTTCATTGTGTTGTAATAATGTTTGTATCACGCAATTTCATTGTGCTGAAATAATGTTTGTATCACGCAATTTCATTGTGCTGAAATAATGTTTGTATCACGATTTTCATTGTGCTGTAATAATGTTTGTATCACGATTTTCATTGTGCTGTAATAATGTTTGTATCACGTCATTTCATTGTGCTGTAATAATGTTTGTATCATGCCATTTCACTGTGCTGTAATAATGTTTGTATCACGTCATTTCATTGTGCTGTAATAATGTTTGTATCACGCCATTTATTGTGCTGTAATAATGTTTGTATCACGTCATTTCACTGTGCTGTAATAATGTTTGTATCACGTCATTTCATTGTGCTGTAATAATGTTTGTATCACGTCATTTCACTGTGCTGTAATAATGTTTGTATTACGCCATTTCATTGTGCTGTAATAATGTTTGTATCACGCCATTTCATTGTGCTGTAATAATGTTTGTATCACGCCATTTCATTGTGCTGTAATAATGGTTGTATCACGCCATTTCATTGTGCTGTAATAATGTTTGTATCACGCCATTTCACTGTGTTGTAATAATGTTTGTATCACGTCATTTCATTGTTCTGTAATAATGTTTGTATTACGCCATTTCATTGTGCTGTAATAATGTTTGTATCACGCCATTTCATTGTGCTGTAATAATGGTTGTATCACGCCATTTCATTGTGCTGTAATAATGGTTGTATCACGCCATTTCATTGTGCTGTAATAATGTTTGTATCACGCCATTTCACTGTGTTGTAATAATGTTTGTATCACTGTTTAGTTAGCCCCTTCCCACCCCTGTTATTCACGTGATATGGTGACACGCTATAAAAATATAAAAAGTCGAAACTTGGGGAATCTCAATGTTGGCGAATGAATTATTTACGACGTCTGGTACCATCATGAAAACAAGAAAAGTTCGGTGAGTTGGTCACCACGCGAATATTCACGTAACCCAAACAAGCTTCGTGAACTTATTTCTTATTTCTTTTAGTTTCCAAAATTAGATTTTATATACATAAAAACTGACATCGTCGCTTATCTTTAAATCACTGACGCGCAGAGGTGTGTTCCTGCCGGGGACAACTCCACCCGACACATTATATATATATATATATATATATATATATATATATATATATATATATATATATATATATATATATATATATATATATATATATATATATATGTATATATATATATATATATATATATAATGTGTGTGTGTGTCTGTGTGTGTAGATATATATCAGGGGCTACCAAAACGTTTTAGCCTGGACATATATTCTTATGAAGACCATATGATCTAGTAATGTCATGTTTGTTAACATTTTCACTGGGTAAAATAACAAAAACAAACGAATTTTTGTGTGTAGCTTTTTTCCAAATTTCGTTTAGTAGTTGCAAATACATAAAACATGAGATACATCCAATCTTTAGTGAAGTTTTACAGCAACCACAATCAAATTTATACAACCACCCGTTTAAATAACACGGCACTAGATTTTATAATAATTAGAGGGCCTCTATGGACTACTCCTAGTGGGGGGGGGGGGGGGATACGATAGCTTGTGGCTTGTGATAAATCTGTGTATAATCTATCCCTTAACAGCATCCTTCTTGGCTCTAAGACTTGTTAAAGTCAACATCTGTCAACACCAACTCACCAAATCACAACTAGTTATCTCCCCTTTGTTATTGATATTTTATTTTTACTATAAATTATTATTTAATTACTAATCTAATATTTGATTTGACCCAAGATGAACTTATCTACATAAGTTTTTTTCTAATAGCTCTATTAAACTTAATTACGTTTGGTTTACAAGGTTGACCAGTAACACACACACACACACACTCACACACACACACGTACGTAGGTCTACACAATAGCCTGTAAAAAAATCACATGTTTATACTTCAGAATACTTTTCTTGTAAAAAAAAATATAATGTTTATAATTATTTTCTTATAAAACGGTTTATGGCTTACAACTTTTAAAATATTTTATTTACAACACTAGGGCATGAGTTCAGTTCACAAAACAACATGAACTGTCAACAATATCTTCACGATGTGTTTTGTTTACCCCGCCTGTCTATTGGTTCTTGTTAGATTCAAACACAGCAAAATCCTGAAGGAAAAGTGGACAATTATGTTCAACTAAATTTTCAAATAAAACAAATAGAAAAAACTTTTCTAATAGCAAGCTTTTAAGTGCACTGAAAAAAAAGAAAAGTTTGATTTCTTTCATAAAAGCTTTGGTTGCTATAATATGTAAAAGATTTCATGAGTAACCAAAGCTTGCTGTTAGAAAGGTTTTTTTTTTTTTATATTTGTTTTATTTTCTACTTTTTAGTGATTCCTAATTTATGAAGTCGACACGACTAAAAATATTTGCTTTTAAACACCAACAGTAGCTCGCGATGTCTAAAAGATGATTATCTGCCCCGCGAAAAGTAGCCGTACTTGACCACATTTTACAGAACAGCAAGTTGGTCAAGTGAAGCATAATTCTTAATCCCCTTAGTTTCAAATCGTTTAAAAACTTTATTGTCTGCCCCTAATAACCTTGACTAATTCGACCTGGCTCTACTTCTTCTTCTTCTTCGTTCTTAATGAGAATATGGTGGAGGATTCAGACAAGTCCAACTTCGTGAACAAACCGGATGTGGTCAAGATTTGCCTCAAACCCACTAACTACAAACAAGTAAACAAACAAACAAACAGACGTTGTGAACTAAATAAAAGCTTACCAAAAAAAAAAAAGAAACAGAATTTTTTTAAAACTACTATTTAGTTTTGATTAAAAGTTATTGACTGAAATGTACACAAAAAAACTACCTCCTTCCGTCCTCACTATCGCCACTAAATAATTAACCAATTATTGCATTAATTTAAAAACGAAAGTCTCAGCTTCGTCATTTAAGAAACCAAGGTAACGCATTAGGGCCCAGGCAAGGGCGGGGAGCGGACCACACCGGGCAACACCCCACCTAGTGACGCCACTAAGTCAATGTTTCGTGTCACACCTGTGTTAGGTCACGTGTGCAGACTATCTATAATTATCTATGTGAGTACCTGAGGAGCCCTACTTACAATCATGAATATGCAAGTATGGGGAGCCCTACTTACAATCATGAATATGCAAGTATGGGGAGCCCTACTTACAATCATGAATATGCAAGTATGGGGAGCCCTACTTACAATCATGAATATGCAACCATTAGGAGCCCTACTTACAATCATGAATATGCAAGCATGAGGAGCACTACTTACAATCATGAATGTGCAAGCATGAGGAGCCCTACTTACAATCATGAATGTGCAAGCATGGGGAGCCCTACTTACAATCATGAATATGCAAGCATGAGGAGCACTACTTACAATCATGAATGTGCAAGCATGGGGAGCCCTACTTACAATCATGAATATGCAACCATTAGGAGCCCTACTTACAATCATGAATATGCAAGCATGAGGAGCACTACTTACAATCATGAATATGCAAGCATGAGGAGCCCTACTTACAATCATGAATATGCAAGCATGAGGAGCCCTACTTACAATCATGAATATGCAAGCATGAGGAGCCCTACTTACAATCATGAATATGCAAGCATGAGGAGCCCTACTTACAATCATGAATATGCAAGCATGAGGAGCCCTACTTACAATCATGAATATGCAAGCATGAGGAGCCCTACTTACAATCATGAATATGCAAGCATGAGGAGCCCTACTTACAATCATGAATATGCAAGCATGAGGAGCCCTACTTACAATCATGAATATGCAACCATTAGGAGCCCTACTTACAATCATGAATATGCAAGCATGGGGAGCCCTACTTACAATCATGAATATGCAAGCATGAGGAGCCGTACTTACAATCATGAATATGCAAGCATGAGGAGCCCTACTTACAATCATGAATATGCAAGCATTAGGAGCCCTACTTACAATCATGAATATGCAAGCATGAGGAACCCTACTTACAATCATGAATATGCAAGCAAACATCAAGGCCTTGTGCTTGACATCCAGATCCATGGGAACTGTGGTGTTGATTGGTAGGAAAAAATTGTTACAATTCTAGACATGAACAAGATGGTAAATATTTGAAAAGAAAGACAACTTCATTTTAATCATCGATAACAAGGGATATAACTTAATTAATTTTTAAAAATTAAGTGAGGAAATGTCCTTTTTCAAAAAACTGAAATTATAAATTTTAGCGTGAGAAAAAAAACCATTCAAGTCAGTCGCGCTCCCCCTCCTTGTGACTGAAACTTTGTGATGAAACTACTCACACGTAACGCTGTAAGTGTCCGCATCCGTCGAAAATTCTTTCAAAGTTCCTGACCAGATTTTACTGACATTCCCACAGACTGAACCATCTTTAACACTGCAGATCTGTTAAAGGTATTACAGTAAGGGGATATTAGTAGTATGGATCTGTTGGAGACTTGGGATCAACTAACTAAGGGAATAACACATAATACCTTATCAACAAATGCCACTTAAATATTAAAACTTCAAAATGTAGGCCTATATAAAATTGAAAGCATATTACTTTAAAACACCTTCTAAAAAGGAACCCAATAAAGCATGATTTTAATGTATCTAGGACAACACTAGTGAATGCAACGTTAAAACGTCTGAGTGAGTTGCACGTGTATGTTAATCAGGCAGACCACATCACACACGTATAAAACAACACACTACTCACTCACCGGAAACACGATCTCCGTGCCACAGTTGAAGGGACAGACAGGCCCCCATATCTCGTACAGCATCGTCTCGTTGGTGTCAAACACGCCAAAGTGGGGTTTACATGACGACTGCCTGGGGTACAGAGGGGGGGAGTTAGTACAACGTTACAGGCACTGACGTCACGCCGCACGGACAGTCAGTGACGTCACTCAAATTTGTTACAGAAGAAGACGTCCTTGTTAAAATCATTGACTTCGGGAATATGGCATATTCGTTAATCGATGACGTCACGGCTGGGAGTCACTGACGTCACGAGAGTCGCTAACGTCACGGCTTGGAGTCACTGAGGTTTCGAGTGGGTAGTTATGTACGAGCTACTTGTTATTTTAAATACGCCATCACATCTTATAAACTCAGTGTTTCTTCCAGACTTTTTCTCCGGGGGGCACTTGAAATTATCGGGGGGGGGGCGGTAGACTTTCTTCGGGGGGGGGGGGGGCGGACACTGTTAAAAGTATATATTTTCTATATAAATTATATAAATTTCATTTCGTTCGGGGGGCGGTAAAAAAATTTCGGGGGGGGGGGGGCTTTGTGTGATATCTTTATGTAGTGTCTTTATGTGGTGTCTTTGTATAGTGTCTTTGGACGATCGGACAGACAAGCTGTGTATAATGTGCAGCTGGTATTTTTTAACGTTTAAAATGCGAATTCAGCGAAGCACTTATTGTGTGAATCGCCTACAATTCTAAAGCCGCGGACGGAAATAGGAAATCTAAGTATCAACCATGCAGTTCCTCACATCATCCGGATCATCCCCAGATCCGTGCCGGCACGGTCCCGGATGTAGATCGGGTACCGGCAGCAACCGTCAGCACAACAGAAACATCCTCTGCATGACAGGAACGGGCGGTCTATGACCAGCACTTCCTGTGTGAGAGAGGGACAAGTCTAGAGACGGCCATCTTGAATGTGTGTTAGTAGTTTTGCTAGGCTAAAGCAACGGGCGACACATGAGCCACACACGTTTAGTAAACGATGGTCAGAATAAAATATCAAATGAATGAAAAATTATTTAGATCACATATCCTAAGGCAGATGTGACGAAGGTATGTATAATGTTTTAGGTGTAAGGAAAAGAGAAATGAGTTGAGCTACAAGTATCAAACCTTTTCATAGTTTGAATAAGAAAAGATACTAACAAACATTCATCAACACCTCTTTTTTTACCTCGTTATTGTTGTCTAAAATGTGGAAAATAAATCCTCTTTGTGGTCCCCAGCAGTACCTGTTCCATAGCTCCGACTCTAGGGGATACAATAGCGATTCATTATATACATACATACATACATATGCGCAACCGTGCACACGCACGCTCACACACATACATACATACATACGAATGTTTTTATGTGAGTATAATACATAGGTAGGTCTATCTATAAATGTATATATATATATATATATATATATATATATATATATATATATATATATATATATATATATATATATATATATATATAGTGTGTTTCTGTATTTATATACTTGTATGTAAAACGGCTATACCTTCATGACATGTGTAGACTTGCTGTTCTAGCGTGTTGTAAACTCTGTATTTGTTGACAGCCTCAAACCCCAACAGAACTGTTGGAGGAAAATATAAGCCATATATTTCTAGACAGAACAACCTGTTTGGTGTCTAGGGTGTGTTGTGTCGTGTCTAGGGTGTGTTGTGTCGTGTCTAGGGTGTGTTGTGTCGTGTCTAGGGTGTGTTGTGTCGTGTCTAGGGGGTGTCGGGTCTAGGGTGTGTTGTGTCGTGTCTAGGGGTGTTGTGTCTAGGGTGTGTTGTGTCGTGTCTAGGGTGTGTTGTGTCGTGTCTAGGGTGTGTTGTGTCGTGTCTAGGGTGTGTTGTGTCGTGTCTAGGGGGTGTCGGGTCTAGGGTGTGTTGTGTCGTGTCTAGGGGTGTTGTGTCTAGGGTGTGTTGTGTCGTGTCTAGGGGGTGTCGGGTCTAGGGTGTGTTGTGTCTAGGGTGTGTTGTGTCTAGGGTGTGTTGTGTCGTGTCTAGGGTGTGTTGTGTCGTGTCTAGGGGGTGTCGGGTCTAGGGTGTGTTGTGTCGTGTCTAGGGGTGTTGTGTCTAGGGTGTGTTGTGTCGTGTCTAGGGGGGTGTCGGGTCTAGGGTGTGTTGTGTTGGGTCTAGGGTGTGTTGTGTTGGGTCTAGGGTGTGTTGTGTCGTGTCTAGGGGTGTTGTGTTGTGTCTAGGGGGTGTAGGGTCTAGGGTGTGTTGTGTCGGGTCTAGGGTGTGTTATGTCGTGTCTAGGGGGTGTTGTGTTGGGTCTAGGGTGTGTTGTGTCGGGTCTAGGGTGTGTTGTGTCGGGTCTAAGGTGTGTTGTGTCGGGTCTAGGGTGTGTTACTAAAATATTTGAGTAGATCCGGGTTACCTGTTGTTTTCTCATGTCAACCAACAGTTCACTTATTGGGAGGGTGATGATTAGTGTTTCTTCCAGACTTTTTTCTCTCGGGGGGGGGGGGGGGGGGCACTTAAAATTTGGGGGCGGGCGGTCTACAATTTTCTGGGGGGGGGGGGGGGGGGACACTGTTAAAAGTATATATTTTCTATATAAATTCCATTTCGAAAAGATGTCAGGAAGAAACTCTGGTAATGACGTCTGCTGTTTATCACTTTGTACTATAATTTACAATTTATTCTGTAACAAATGCGAAGTAGATGCTAATATTAAGTTTAAAAAATTATTATTTTTAATGCGTGGCCTCAAAATAATTACCCCCCCCCCCCCCACACACACACGCATCTTCTCAAAAGTGTGAAATAATGTATGGGCATTCCGTGATCATTTTACATGTCGTTATATGACATGTGTAGAAAAATGTAGTCAGTATTTATCATTTGGTTGATGGGTAGCTGTTTTACGTTGTTTATGTTTCTTTGTGCAACTACACACACAAAATGTTCACAAATTGAAAGGCTACATATCTGTCTTACAGCTGGAACCTTAGATTATCAGAGCTTCATCCCCATACATTTTCCATCCAGCGTGTACCGGACACCGTATTGACTGACCTTCCAGAAAGTTGACCTCCTGCTTGCACATGAGTTGGTCCACAGCGGTCATGTACTCAAGGCCCGGGGGACATCCTTCTACGGGGGCGGGGCGTGGCATCATTGGAACTGTGCTCAAATACAAATATAGCGGTATACAGAAGTCGTTCGTATGGCTAGCAACCAAGTACAAATATGGTGGTATACAGAAGTCGTTTTATATGGCTAGCAACCAAGTAGGCCTAAATATAGCGGTATACAGAAGTCGTTCGTATGGCAAGCAACCAAGTACAAATATGGTGGTATACAGAAGTCGTTTTATATGGCTAGCAACCAAGTAGGCCTAAATATAGCGGTATACAGAAGTCGTTCGTATGGCTAGCAACCAAGTACATATACCTGGAGCAGTCACGTAAAAGTATGTCTTCTTACTACGGTACAAGATTCCATAAAGAGTAAACCGTGCTGTAATAAAATGAAGAAATTGAACTCACTTTCTTTAGCAGGCTGGTCTGTGACGGCATTCTTGTTTTTACCCATGTTTGGTGCTAGAGTCTCTGAGATCTGAAGGAGATAGTGAGTAGCCGTCAGTGTGCTGCTTTAAGCATTCTTTTTTATTTTAAAAATTATTTTAAACGGCTGTTTCATGTTTCTATGGACTAAATCTGTCTGAGGTTGTGGAGACTGGAATAATCTGCCTAAAACTGGTACATCACGAAATCTAGCTGTAGAGTCTATGGCTGTCTGGGACGGTGGAGACTGGTATAATCTGTCTAAAACTGGGAGATCACGTGATCTAGCTGGCAGACAGACATTCACGCTAGTGGATGGTTCTTCCAGATATTCACGCTAGTGGATGGTTCTTCCAGTGGATGGTTCTTCCAGGCATTCACGCTAATGGATGGTTCTTCTAGTGGATGGTTCTTCTAGTGGATGGATCTTCTAGTGGATGGTTCTTCTAGTGGATGGTTCTTCTAGTGGATGGTTCTTCTAGTGGATGGATCTTCTAGTGGATGGTTCTTCTAGTGGATGGTTCTTCTAGTGGATGGTTCTTCTAGTGGATGGATCTTCTAGTGGATGGATCTTCTAGTGGATGGTTCTTCTAGTGGATGGATCTTCTAGTGGATGGATCTTCTAGTGGATGGTTCTTCTAGTGGATGGATCTTCTAGTGGATGGATCTTCTAGTGGATGGATCTTCTAGTGGATGGTTCTTCTAGTGGATGGATCTTCTAGTGGATGGATCTTCCAGGCATTCACGCTAGTGGATGGTTCTTACAGGCATTCACGTCAGTGGATGGTTCTAGTTAACTCACCTGGAAGTATACCTACGTCAAACTAAATGGTCGTCATCATAAATATGTCAGGATGTCACCTACTAAGAGAACTCCAACTTCTATTAGTGTCACCTTCTAAGGCGGTGTCACCTCCAAAAAGAGTATCACCTTCTAAAAACATGTTGCCTGTTAATAGTGTGTTGCCTAGCTAGAGTGTGACACCTTATAAGGACTTGCTATTCCTACCCGACAGAAAACGTTATGAGCTGAAATCGCTAGTCAATTGATAGATATTTATATATTCTGCCTTCGCTGGAGGCTTAGCTGGCTGTATTGTCGTTATGTGAGGTCTCGTCTCCACCCACCCCCTCCCCCCCCCCCCCCAGCCATTCTAAAAAAAGACGATACTGCGACATACCACCTGTGACGTCGTTGTAACCCTAGCCACCGCTGCTGGTGTGACCTTTTTTTACTTAGATCACGTGACCGCTGGGTGCACGAGGATATGCATGGCTTAATTTCTTTCACGTAATCTTGGCGCTCAGCCAAACGTAGCGTCGGTGTTGATCTATGCAAGCACACAGGTGTGCCGGGGTGGGCTGTTTTCACATGTCGACCAACAGTTCACGTATTGAGCGTGTAATAACGTGTGCTGTTTTCACATGTCGACCAACAGTTAGTGTATTGAGCGTGTAATGACGTGTGCTTTTTCACATGTCGACCAACAGTTCACATATTGAGCGGGTAATGACGTGTGCTGTTTTCACATGTCGACCAATAGTTAGTGTATTGAGCGTGTAATGACGTGTGCTGTTTTCACATGTCGACCAACAGTTCACGTATTGAGCGTGTAGTGACGTGTGCTGTTTTCACATGTCGATCAACAGTTCACGTATTGAGCGTGGACTGACGTGTGCTGTTTTCACATGTCGATCAACAGTTCACGTATTGAGCGTGTAGTGACGTGTGCTGTTTTCACATGTCGACCAACAGCTCATCTAATGTAATTAAAAAAAATTCTGCATGCTATGTAGTCTAAAATGGCCTGGTGAACTTGCTGTGACTTTTCTTTCTGTTGTTGTGTTTAGGTTATTTTAGACTAATTCTATTATTACAACTTTAAAAATAACTGTATAACAATAAGCCTTTATATACGCTTAATTTTTTTATTCTTCTAAAAACCTGCTTGTGCCCTTGACGTCACATAAGAAATTCAACGATCCAGAACGAGGCCGATTGACGGGGATCCACCCCCTCAAAGCGACGCTAAAAATAGCCGGTAAAGAAGCGGCACGTGAAAAAAATCAATAAATGAGAATCAAATAATGATTGTGTACAGCGTCAGCATGTATGCAGTGCCGGCGCCAGGTAATTTAGCGCCCTAGGCAAAACTTATTAAAAGCGCCCCCCCGGAGTTTTTTTCGTGACCCCCCCCCGTATTATCAGAGGCGTAGCGACCTTTCCCGGCGCCCGAGGACATATTTTCGATTTGCATCCCCCCCCCCCCCCAAAAAAAAACTTTCAATTTTTTTCCAACCCTTTTTGGCGCCCCCCTACGGACAGCGCCCTAGGCGACCGCCTAGTTCGCCTTATAGGTAGTGCCGGCACTGCCTGTATGTGTACAACCTCAGCGTGTATGTGTACAGCGTCAGCATGTATGTGTACAACCTCAGCTTGTATGTGTACAGCGTCAGCATGTATGTGTACAGCGTCAGCATGTATGTGTACAACCTCAGCGTGTATGTGTACAACCTCAGTCTGTATGTGTACAACGTCAGCATGTATGTGTACAGCGTCAGCATGTATGTGTACAGCGTCAGCATGTATGTGTACAGCGTCAGCATGTATGTGTACAACCTCAGCGTGTATGTGTACAGCGTCAGCCTGTATGTGTACAACGTCAGCATGTATGTGTACAGCGTCAGCATGTATGTGTACAACCTCAGCTTGTATGTGTACAGCGTCAGCATGTATGTGTACAGCGTCAGCATGTATGTGTACAACCTCAGCGTGTATGTGTACAACCTCAGTCTGTATGTGTACAACGTCAGCATGTATGTGTACAGCGTCAGCATGTTTGTGTACAACCTCAGCCTGTATGTGTACAGCGTCAGCATGTATGTGTACAGCGTCAGCATGTATGTGTACAACCTCAGCTTGTATGTGTACAGCGTCAGCATGTATGTGTACAACCTCAGTCTGTATGTGTACAGCGTCAGCATGTATGTGTACAACCTCAGCTTGTATGTGTACAGCGTCAGCATGTATGTGTACAGCGTCAGCATGTATGTGTACAACCTCAGCGTGTATGTGTACAGCGTCAGCATGTATGTGTACAGCGTCAGCATGTATGTGTACAGCGTCAGCATGTATGTGTACAACCTCAGCTTGTATGTGTACAGCGTCAGCATGTATGTGTACAACCTCAGCTTGTATGTGTACAGCGTCAGCATGTATGTGTACAACCTCAGCTTGTATGTGTACAGCGTCAGCATGTATGTGTACAACCTCAGCTTGTATGTGTACAGCGTCAGCATGTATGTGTACAGCGTCAGCATGTATGTGTACAACCTCAGCGTGTATGTGTACAACCTCAGTCTGTATGTGTACAACGTCAGCATGTATGTGTACAGCGTCAGCATGTTTGTGTACAACCTCAGCCTGTATGTGTACAGCGTCAGCATGTATGTGTACAGCGTCAGCATGTATGTGTACAGCGTCAGCATGTATGTGTACAACCTCAGCTTGTATGTGTACAACCTCAGTCTGTATGTGTACAACGTCAGCATGTATGTGTACAGCGTCAGCATGTTTGTGTACAACCTCAGCCTGTATGTGTACAACGTCAGCATGTATGTGTACAGCGTCAGCATGTTTGTGTACAACCTCAGCCTGTATGTGTACAGCGTCAGCATGTATGTGTACAGCGTCAGCATGTATGTGTACAACCTCAGCTTGTATGTGTACAACCTCAGTCTGTATGTGTACAGCGTCAGCATGTATGTGTACAACCTCAGCATGTATGTGTACAACCTCAGTCTGTATGTGTACAACGTCAGCATGTATGTGTACAGCGTCAGCATGTTTGTGTACAACCTCAGCCTGTATGTGTACAGCGTCAGCATGTATGTGTACAGCGTCAGCATGTATGTGTACAACCTCAGCTTGTATGTGTACAGCGTCAGCATGTATGTGTACAACCTCAGTCTGTATGTGTACAGCGTCAGCATGTATGTGTACAACCTCAGCTTGTATGTGTACAGCGTCAGCATGTATGTGTACAGCGTCAGCATGTATGTGTACAACCTCAGCGTGTATGTGTACAGCGTCAGCATGTATGTGTACAACCTCAGCTTGTATGTGTACAGCGTCAGCATGTATGTGTACAACCTCAGCTTGTATGTGTACAGCGTCAGCATGTATGTGTACAACCTCAGCGTGTATGTGTACAGCGTCAGCATGTATGTGTACAACCTCAGCTTGTATGTGTACAGCGTCAGCATGTATGTGTACAACCTCAGCATGTATGTGTACAGCGTCAGCCTGTATGTATACAGCGTCAGCATGTATGTGTACAACCTCAGCATGTATGTGTACAGCGTCAGCATGTTTGTGTACAACGTCAGCATGTATGTGTACAACCTCAGCTTGTATGTGTACAGCGTCAGCATGTATGTGTACAACCTCAGCTTGTATGTGTACAGCGTCAGCATGTATGTGTACAACCTCAGCATGTATGTGTACAGCGTCAGCATGTATGTGTACAACCTCAGCATGTATGTGTACAGCGTCAGCCTGTATGTGTACAGCGTCAGCATGTATGTGTACAACCTCAGCATGTATGTGTACAGCGTCAGCATGTATGTGTACAACCTCAGCTTGTATGTGTACAGCGTCAGCATGTATGTGTACAGCGTCAGCATGTATGTGTACAACCTCAGCGTGTATGTGTACAGCGTCAGCATGTATGTGTACAGCGTCAGCATGTATGTGTACAGCGTCAGCATGTATGTGTACAACCTCAGCTTGTATGTGTACAGCGTCAGCATGTATGTGTACAACCTCAGCTTGTATGTGTACAGCGTCAGCATGTATGTGTACAACCTCAGCTTGTATGTGTACAGCGTCAGCATGTATGTGTACAACCTCAGCTTGTATGTGTACAGCGTCAGCATGTATGTGTACAGCGTCAGCATGTATGTGTACAACCTCAGCGTGTATGTGTACAACCTCAGTCTGTATGTGTACAACGTCAGCATGTATGTGTACAGCGTCAGCATGTTTGTGTACAACCTCAGCCTGTATGTGTACAGCGTCAGCATGTATGTGTACAGCGTCAGCATGTATGTGTACAGCGTCAGCATGTATGTGTACAACCTCAGCTTGTATGTGTACAACCTCAGTCTGTATGTGTACAACGTCAGCATGTATGTGTACAGCGTCAGCATGTTTGTGTACAACCTCAGCCTGTATGTGTACAACGTCAGCATGTATGTGTACAGCGTCAGCATGTTTGTGTACAACCTCAGCCTGTATGTGTACAGCGTCAGCATGTATGTGTACAGCGTCAGCATGTATGTGTACAACCTCAGCTTGTATGTGTACAACCTCAGTCTGTATGTGTACAGCGTCAGCATGTATGTGTACAACCTCAGCATGTATGTGTACAACCTCAGTCTGTATGTGTACAACGTCAGCATGTATGTGTACAGCGTCAGCATGTATGTGTACAACCTCAGCATGTATGTGTACAACCTCAGTCTGTATGTGTACAACCTCAGCATGTATGTGTACAGCGTCAGCCTGTATGTGTACAGCGTCAGCATGTATGTGTACAACCTCAGCATGTATGTGTACAGCGTCAGCATGTATGTGTACAACCTCAGCATGTATGTGTACAGCGTCAGCATGTATGTGTACAACCTCAGCCTGCATCTACAACGTCAGCATATGTTGCATATAATTCGCTGTACGGTTGATTGACATTTTGACGAGCAAGGTCGTCATAAAGTATGTCAACGTTGAAATGAATATAAGATAAAGTAGTTCTGAATGCTAAAAATTGAAACCGCAACATAGGGAATGTTAAGCTAGGGAAAGTGTGAGTTTAGACGCCATAAATGAAGACAAACAATATTTTTAAAATGAAATTCCTAGCATGTGGGTAAAGCGAATTAACAGAGTATGGAATGGCGTGGTCGTAGGGTAGAACATTTTCGTTCGTCCACCTCTCCTGCGTGGTTCCAAGTCACGTCTTCAGATGATCAGAGCACATAGTCTCTTGATAGAACGAGATCATAAAAGCAGGCAAGCTCTACTTCATCCAGCGGCGTCGCTATGTCGGGTGTCACCCGGTACGGCACTTCTTGGTGTCACCCCCCCCCCCCCCCCCAATGTGTGTGTGTGTTTGTGCGTCGGTCTAAATAGGCCTATAATTGAAATACATGCGTACATGTACGTGTATAAGCTTTAATCACTGCAGATTTAACAGTTGGATGTAACATTATTTTCTCTATAGTTTGCACGTATACGTCATGATGTTACCCCCACCCTCTTGTAATAATTTGTAATTAAAAGACTATTTAACTTCAATTAACCATTAATGGAACTGGCAAAAAGGATTTTTCTTCTGTACATTTTGCAATTTTTTGCCTTGGTGCCACCCCCCTAAATGGTGTCACCCGGTGCGGTCCGCACCCCCCGCCCCGTCCTGGCTACGCCTCTGACTTCATCCACTTTATGTCTGCCCTCAAAAAGTTTATTTGATATTTTTACTTTTGTTCAAAGTTTAGATTGTGCTTATTTCACATTCAGATTTAAATTAGGACTTTTCAAACACAAAATCACAATTTCAATTTCGTTTATTTAATTGCACGGTTTCATATACATTTCATACATTGTATCTAGGAGGCTAAATTCATAAAACATAACTTCAGAAACGACGATATTTTAAGGCAACTTTACAAATGTGTGATTGGTTAAAGTCATTAGACGGATATGTTACAGATTACAGTAATCAGACGAATCAGATTTGTGCATAGTTCAGTGGTTATGGCGGTACTTGTGAGTATCTGTACCTCATCATGGTGGACATCTTGTGGATATAGGGCAGTCCCAGACGTGATCCAACAGATAATAAATTAGTTGTCGTTCTTGTCCGTCTCAAAAAGTGAAAAATCCTGGGGGAGAAATATGTTTTAGAATTGTAAAAACACGAGACAAAATTTAATATGCAAATTTAATATGAAATGGAATCATCAAGTGTTGTGATTACATTTCCACTTGCCTAGATATTTTTTCTGTTACGGCAAACAATGTACACTGTCTTTACTGCCAGTTTTTTAATTTGCTTAGTTTTGTTTCTATAGGCTAATGTTTTTTTTTTCTAAAGTGGTTAATTAATCAGACCATTGAAAGCATTCATTCATCTGAGCCGAGTGAACGATTGAATCTAAATTTAAAAAAAAAACAACTCACGATGAGGATGAAGCAGGCAAAGATCAGCGCCTTGTGTTTGACGTCCAAGTTCATGGGAACTGGGAAATGGGTACAGCATTGTGTATCAGGGAGATGGGTACAACATTGTGTATCAGGGAGATGGGTAGAACATTATGTATCAGGGAGATGGGTACAACATTGTGTATCAGGGAGATGGGTACAACATTGTGTATTAGATAGATGGGTACAACATTGTGTATTAGATAGATGAGTACAACATTGTGTATTAGATAGATGAGTACAACATTGTGTATTAGATAGATGGGTACAACATTGTGTATTAGATAGATGAGTACAACATTGTGTATTAGATAGATGGGTACAACATTGTGTATTAGATAGATGAGTACAACATTGTGTATTAGATAGATGGGTACAACATTGTGTATCTGATCAAAAGACAACTTCTCTAAAAATGTTGTATCTGATATGTCATAAAATATGCGCTTAAAGTCATCAGCTGAACTAAATTGCCTTGCTTATTCACTACTACATTTAGTTAACTCGATACAAAATAAGTATCAAAATATTACAGGGGCGATATGTTATGAACGACCTTGTCAATGTTTGGTGGGGGTGGGGATGGGGGGTACTCACAGGTCACACTGTACGTGTCGGCGTCAGACAGAAACTCTCTCAGCGCCCCGGCCCAGACCTTGGTGACGCCCCCCACCTGGGAGCCGTCTCGTACACTGCGTATCTGTCAGAGTATTGATAGAGGTTAAAGGATGAGTGAGGACAACTGGTTGGTTTGTTGAATGTTGGCAGTTATTAGAGCAGTGGCATAGCTAGGATTTTTGGGCCCCTATGCAAAAAGTGTTAGTGGACCCCTCAGAGGCGAAGCGACTCTTCCCGGCGACCGGGGACAAACTTTCGATTTGCACACCCCCCCCCCCCTCAGACTTTCGATTTGCACCACCCCCCCCCCCCCTCAGACTTTCGAAAAAAGGGCCCCTATTTGCCTTGGGCCCCTATGCCTTGCATACGCTAACTTTACGGTAGCTACGCCACTGGATTAGAGGATCAGTAGCACGTAGGCTGGTTGGTTTGTTGGATGTTGGCAGTGATTAGAGGTTCAGAAGCACGTAGGCTCGTTGGTTTGTTCACTATATGAGCTACCTTTTTTTAGCTTTCAGGTAATCAAAAGTAAAATGTCTGTTTAAAGCTTTATTCAATAACTTGTCCAACCTTGTAAGTGAAGGACGGAACCATGACTTGGAGGATATCAACATATTGCCTTTAGTGGTATGTTATGTTTAACATGGAGGGACAACATTGTATTACCTGAAGGCTACACAACTAGTGACGTCATTAACCTTGACTTAGCCCAGTTAAAATTAATTAAAGATAAACTTAATTACTTAATCAGCGTCTAATTACCGGAAACGGGATTTCTCCTCCACAACTGCACGTGCATGCCGGGCCCCAGATCTCATACAGTAGGTCTCCGTTGGCGTCGAATATGCCAAAATGGGGTTTACATTTGGAGTTCCTGAAGACATACAAATACATATATTTGGGGTCCAAAATCCCAATATTGGGGTTTTTATTTGTAGTTCCTGAAGACATACATGCACCTATATTTGGTCACCTACACCTGTCTGACAACTGACACGTCACCTACACCTGTCTACACGTCACCTACACTTGTCTGACAACTGACACGTCACCTACACTTGTTTACACGTCACACAGTGTTTCTTCCAGACTTTTTTCTCCGGGGGGGGGGGCACTTAAAATTTTCGGGGGGGGGGGGGGCGGAAGACTTTCTTCGGGGGGGGGGGGCGGACACTGTTAAAAGTATATTTTCTATATAAATTATATAAATTTTATTTCGTTCGGGAGGGGCGGTAGAATTTTTCGGGGGGGGGGGGGGGGGCAAAGTTCCCCCCCCCCCCCCCCGAAGAGATGCCTGGAAGAAACTCTGAGGTCACATGTCACTAACACGTGTGACAACTCACATCATACGTATCATGCCCAGATGGTTGCCCGTCCTGTCCCTGACAAAGATGGGGTACAGACAACATCCGTCAGCGCAGCAGCAACATCCGCTACAGGCCCTGAACGGTCTGTCTACCAGCATCACCTCCTGCCGGATGTAAATAATGGCTCGTTAGTTGCTGTCTTCATACAGGGGCGGAGAGAGGGTGGGGTGTTGGGGTAGGGTAAATGTTGATTGTGACGCCACTGTAAAATAAAATACTTAAAAAAAACTTTTTAAAAAACCACGTTTTTCTTGTGGACTAAAAAGTAGAAAATAACTATTTACATACATTTGATGACAAAAAACGTGGGTTCACCATCAAATTTCCCGACCCATCTGCCCGACCCACGTTTTTTGTCATCAAATGTATGTAAATAGTTATTTTCTACTTTTTAGTCCACAAGAAAAACGTGGTTTTTTAAAAAGTTTTTTTTAAGTATTTTATTTTCTCCTTTTTAGTCCGTTGCTACACATGAAAAACGTGGTTTTTAAAAAAGTTTTTTATATAGTTTATTTTCTACTTTATCTAATGACTTGATTAAGTATGACTTGACTAAGTGTATATAAATACACGGACTAAAAAAATCTTGAGCGACCAGGATTCGAACCTGGGTTGTCGCGGCCACAACGCGAAG